ATAGCAACAGGAGGTCATATGGGATGTAGATCACATACCATTGCAACTCAAAATTGTGTTTCTATGCACTTCATTATCATTGATCTGCACAGCACTGCCAGCATTCAGTTCCCACTAGCTTCTTTGATTCTTCTTGTCTATCTGCAGCCCTTAGCAACAGCCCAACAAATTCAACAAGCGAAGGGTATGTATCAAAAATATGAAATTCCTCATGTTCATCGAATTGATCATTGAGGAATCCCAGTTGTGAAAGTAGTGTTTTGCTTCATCCTTAAGAATTGTCCTATTCATACCAACTCAGAAATACCACTGTTGAAAGCTGTAGGCGATGAACTTTTGCAGTTTTCGAAAGCGCAACCCCTCACAAAAGACAACTACTGCAATGAGAAAAGCATCCTTAATCACATAAGTCTTCCATTCCTAGACCATTCTTCAATGTCACTCAAGACCTTGTACATAAGATCAACTGCTGCAACTCCAGCAAGAATGTGTTGTTCAAAGTTGGAGCCTAATTCTTTATAGCTTCCTCCAAATGACAGAAGCACCACTCCTTACTATCTTTCTCTTTCACCTCAACTTCTCACTTGAGTAAAGATTTGAATGTCTTACAATGTTTTGGGCTATGATATTTAGCGGCAACCTTCTACAAAAGCTATAAAAAGTTATAACATGTTATAGCAGAAGCTATTCATTTTGTAGTTTTATGAAAAATATGAAAATTCTTAATGAATTATGCATATAAACATTTAACTACACAAAAAATTATGAACACAAATACTCAAATACATGAATATCTAGGAAAATATGTTTCAACTCCATTACGTTGGAACTGACAGTTCTGAATAAGAGAGAGGGGGAGGAGAGAGCTCAGTGACGGAGACGGAAGACACTACAATTTTGTACAAGTGAAAATCAGTGGGAGGAGAAGTCAATTGCCCTGATGCCCTTGGGCACTTATATAAGCACTAGCTATTTACATGTGACACTACTCTAGCTACTAGTTGGGCCTCTTCTAGGGGGAGAACTGGTCCATATACCTCATGGGCTCCCCAACATCGCTCCCAGCAAACACTTCACTAGGATGGGGCTTCGCCAACACGTCAGTGACTACAACGACTCACCCACGCCAACACTTCCACGCGAGGGACCACACCATCATCTTCGGCGACTTCAATGACTAACCTTCGACGCCAATAGCTAGAGGGGCTTCTCCGACATCTCTGATGTCAACATCGACAACGTATCTTCATCAATATCTTCGGTGACTACAACAACTTGCCTCCGTCAAAACTTCGGCACGTAGGGCTTCGCTGATATCTTCAGCATCTACACCAACAATGCCTTTCGTCAACACCTTCGGCACGAGGGCCTTCGCTAACTTCTTCAACATTCACAATGACTCACCTCTGCCAACACTTCGACATAAGGGGCTTCGCCAACATCATCTTCGGCGGCTACGATGACTCGTCTTCACCAACGCATCGGTAGAATGGGCTTCACTATCATCTTTGGCCACTAAAACGGCCTGAGAGCATTTGTCGACACTTTTGGCATCAACGTTTACGATGACTTGCCTTCATCGCCTAGTTCGAGGGGCTACATCAACTCGTTCGGCACCAAGATCTACTTCACCTTCCTCGACCACTTCGACTCGAGGGGCTCACCAACAACTTCGGTCTAGACATCTACTTATGCTACTATGGCTACTATGACTAAGTCAACTACAACATACACAATTGATAGCCAGGAGGAGCTAGGGGAGCATACTAGAGGACCTGACACTCCATAGTCCATAGGGTGAAGTATTTTGCTTGACGCTCATGAGAAAAGATTTGGAGGCTTCATGGCAACCTTCGGCTATGACTACTTCGAGCACTTTGACTACAACGACTACACCCATTCGTGAAGTGAGGGTGTGTCTCCATGTGAAGGCTCAGACGAGAAGGTCCCGAAGGCGAAGATCTGCACGCAGAGATGGTTCTAGATTAGAGATAAAGATCTACACAACGAGAAGGTCCTAGAGGAAAGATGTCATGTCTTGTTTCAAAATACTGGCCACTTCTCGACTAAGATTGACAGAAGTCACAGGACTAACCATGCACGCTACTAGTAATAGGGATGTCGATATGGAGTTCACAACTAGTAAAAAAAGATATCAACGGGGAATTCTCAAGGATTACTTGTTCCTCTTGTGTTTCTACTTTGTTTATTTGATATTTTGGACGATAACAGAGCTAGACCCGCTATGCATTCATCGTGAACACGTCTGTTTCCTCATTTAGGACAAATTATTGCCCTTAACTCTTATTTTATCATCCTCCGTCTAAAATTATAGATCGTTTTGTCTTTTCTATATACATGGGATTTTCTATGTACATAGATATACAATTGTCTTGATACATAGCAAAAGTTATAGCAAAAGTTATGTGCCTAGAAATACTAAAACGAACCATAAATTGGAACAAGTTAGGTTCCAAAAAAGAAGAAGCAAATACCCATATATATTTCTAATAAAGCTCTTTCTAGGTGTCGACTGTCGAGCTAACTCCTTTGTGAGTTGTGACACTTGGAGTTTGGGGTTGCCACTTTACAGGGGTAAAACAAATTTTTAATGAGCAATGCTACAGTACCCTTCTTGCTTCCTAGAAGGTAATATCTTAAATAAATCTAAGCCATTGATTTTTTAGATTTTTAAATTAATTAATTAAAAAAGGAAAACTATTCTCAGATCCCTCTAATCATGCTGAGACATGGGTGGGCATGCAGCCCCTTGTTCTTGCGCATGGCTGCACCATTTCTTTTGTGCGATTGTCGTCACGTCTTTTTTTTTTGTTCCTATGGCTAAACTAAACCTATCACAATATAAGGTTAAAATTGTACACCAATAACAACAGGGTACCAGAAATAAATTTTTAGCGACTTCATCATGTATAAAGCTTGATGATATTTTTATGTTAAAATTAAAAACCGGTCATATTTTAGCTATCTTTTAACGTTTCATATATACCTACATAATGTTTCATATACGTTCATATAAGTTGGGCATATATATATATATATATATATATATATATATATATATATATATATATATATATATATATATATATATATATATATATATATATATATATATATATACACGCACGTTATGTTACGTTCCTAAGTAACAAGTGCATCAATAAATAACTAGTTTAATCTAATTAAATTATGTTATATCCAAAGTTACTAAAATAAAAAGATTCATCATGTTTAATAGATCATGCATGCATCAATTAGATCTAAAAAAGATCTTTATATCTAAAACTTTACTTATTTCATCTACTAGGTTCGTGCACGTGCGTTGCTACAGGACAGCTAAACTTATGTAAAAAACACATGGATTGCAAGATAAGATAATAATACTGTAAAATTAAACACGAACGTTAAAGTGATATTTAATAAAAAAAAGCATAGTTCGTGAAATTAACACAGTACAAAGAGCGCGACGTCGCCGGCTCAGAAACCTATTATATAGACCTTTTCGTGATGCGGCTAAAATAATATTTTATATCGGCAGTAAGAAATCTCCGATATCCATTTCTTTCGTGCGCCAATAAATCGACGAACAAGTTCCGCCGCATGTCCATACCATCCTGTACACATGTTCAAGTATATATGTAATATTAGCGCCTGTCACGTGGATAATATTGTCGATGGAACTGAATGCATTTACAGCACCTATATTATAATACAAAAGTATGGTCTCAATGTCTAATCCATGAAGGACACACAATAATTCAAATTCTATGATAATAAAGTTTAAGCAACAGTGTCAGCTACTCTGGTATTCAAACTCTTTTGTAATTAAAAACAAAGCCACGATTCTATAAAGACGTACCCATTTCATGAACAGTGTTGATATCCGTCTCTGTTAAACCGTCGTCAATATCACCGAGAACTCCAATGCTTAAAGGGACAGGACCGTCTAAAAATTTATTGATATAATAAGTATCCTACGGCACCACGATATTTTCGCCGTAAAGAAATCAATTTTATTACCATACCTGTTGACTGGGCAGTCTCCTTTGGAGTCATTTGTAGCATCTTTGCAGACTTTTTTGGTGCATTTTTTATTGTATACAATTCACGGTGTTTCTTGTTTATTTTACTCATCTTTTCATCAGACATTGTTGCATACCGTTCTCTCTCTCCTTTGCCTCTTCTGCTCATTAGGATCCCAATCTAGTGTCACCAACCCGGTCATATATGATTCCCTTCAATACATTTTGGTGAGGAGTTGCAAACATATGAACATATAATATGTTGGGATGTTATAAAAGTTTATATACCTCCATGTGTTGTATTTGTAAGGTCTCCTAAAGGTATCCGATCACCGGTTGGCCTTGGCATGTCCATCAACACTACCTGTTTCTTATGTAAGAAAAGTAGAAATAAAAGAAGAATCTGTCTTAAGTTTCAAAGTATAGAGTTTTGTTTGATAGACAGCAAAAAGTTTGGCGCTGAACCGAATTAGGATGTGTACCTACAAAAGGATGGATGTGCGTGTGTTTTAGAAGGATATCTTGACAAGCCAACAAAAGAGTTGCCTAACCTGAACACCGTTTATATAGACAATTTCAGAGAACATGATATTGTTAGTATTTTTTAACATATGGCAATTTGGAAAGAATATACATTATTGCTGAAGCTATATAAACGGTGGGAAAAAACACAGATATTGCAACTAAATCGTATACAAATTATAGTATGAGTCCATATGACGCGAATTATCGCAACTGAAGCCAATTTTACTATAGGATGACCCCGGCATGAGATGGTTTTCATCTTGGCAAAAAAAAAAACAAGAAACGAAATAAAGTTCAGATTCAGATATTTTCCGGTCATGACTACTCTGCACAGCTCCAGTCAGCCTCTGGTAGCCTAGAACAGAGATCACCACTGGAATTTCAGCAAAGAGATGAAAGGAGCGGAAACGAAAAATTAAAACAGAACAATCTTTATTTCTTGGCAATGTTATCCAACCCGGGCAAGAAGGCTATGTCCCTGTCGTCAGGGTAGCTCACGATACGGAGGACGGCGGCTCCGTCGAGCTCAACCTCCACAAACACGAAACCGTGACCGAGCTCGGCAGGGGCGAACAAGGCCGGGAGCGCACCCGCGTCGACGCTGTCGCGGAACGCCTCGACGGCGTCAGACACACGGACCACGACGGCGTGCACCGCGAGGCCGTACTGGGGACGCCGCAGACGTCGCGTCCTCGTCGGTGCCGTGCTGCGCCGCGTACGGAGATGCAAAGGACGAGCGAGCGATTTCCTACGCGAGCGATCGCACTGGTTTCCTACACGTGACTTCCTCCGCTTTCCTAAAACCTGCGATCGCAAACAGATCAGTAGAAAACCGCGAAACGCACGGGCGATGAGGAAAAGAAAATCGGCCGCGACGCGGGCAAAACCAGAGAGGGAGGGAGTGAACCGCACGGGAACTGCAGGAAAAATCGTGTAGCGTGATTTCCTCCGACCAAAAGTTTTCTAAAACCAGCGATCACACAGGGGATGCATGGGAGCGAGCAGCTTTGGTGTTACATCTGTAGACAGAACAGTTATAAATGTTTTAGTTGTAGAGATTACCTCATAGAAAATAATACATGATTCTAACCCTCCGATCTAATCAAATAAACGGCTCACGGTCATTTAAGGATACCACAACAAAGCCCTTTTTTAATATCGATCGTACACCAACACTATATATGCCGATAGGCCATAATAATAAGACGTAGTCGGAGTGCACTTTAGCAGTTCCAATAAGCGTACGGCTAACTAGACAACATAGTTAAGCACAATCATGACAAGTTCCACTACACCAAAATAACGACTACTTGGTTAGCAGCAAGTGCGTTGTAGAGGTCCACGGCTAGACGAGCGAAGGATACCTCTTGGCTTGCTCACAGACACGTCTCTTGTATTCTGGCATATTCTGCGAATGAATGGCACAGCAGAACACAATGATAAGCACATAATCATATAAAAAAATAGAGAATTTTCAGGCTAAGTTATTTTAAGACCTTTGCAAAGAAATCATAAGCAAAATCCTGTGCGGGAGAGGCTGGATTTGGGTTATCCAGCAGCTCCTGGATGCCTATAAGAATTTGCCGCACTGTGATAGAAGGCGCCCATGCCTAAGAAATTAGTCATGAAGGCCAAGTGATGTTATTTGCATGATATAGAATTGTAGTGATACTGAAAAAGAAGAAAGTGTCCGCTCAGTTGAAGCTTACATCACCAAGTATTGACAGGCATACATCCCCGGAATCATAGACATTGACATGGAAAAACCTTCGTGGAAACTTGCAGGTTGGAGGGTTACTTGGGTAATTTTCAGTAAAATGGAGAGTAACTGGGAAATATCCACCTTCCCAATCAGTCTGCATAAAGATGAATCAAACATGATCCTAGTTATATGCTAAGACAGTTTAGGATGGGGAGTATGAGTAGAGTGACAATTTATGGTAACACGATGAGATGAAAACTATCCACCAATAGAAAAAAGTGGTATTATGAAAACAGATTTGAGAGTGTGTATGGCAAAAACAATTGAATTGAGAACCCGTAAAAAATGGAACAACAACAACAACAACAAAGCCTTTAAGTCCCAAACAAGTTGGGGTAGGCTAGAGTTGAAACCCAGCAGAAGCCATCAAGGTTTAGGCACGTGAATAGCTAACCCGTAAGAAATGGAAAACATTTACAAATAAAAGCAGAACAACAAATGGGGCCAAAATCACAGGTTTCGTTTAAGCCTTCATGACCTTAGCACCATATAAACTCTTATACGCCAGAGGGAACACCAAAAATTTGTTGTAGTAGAATAGGACCATAAACTCTTCTATGCAAGGGAAAACCCTGAATATGTTATAGTAGAATGGAACTGTGTTTTTTCTATGCAAGCAGAAAATCCTGATTTCTTAGTGGAACAGCTCATCTACGCAAGAGTAAATACATGGGTTCTTTCCAAACTTTACCTTTTAGTCATATTATATGCTAGTTTCTAGGTGGGACAGGATCAGACCATATGTGCACACGACAAAACTGAACAAGGATCCCACACTCGCTAAGACTGTCAAGTGTCAACCACAGTACCAGCATACACGAAAGGGTTGATAAGCTCTTATGTTTTTTCATTCTTACATCTTACTTGATAGAGCATCAGATTGACCAACACATCCAGCAGCATTGTTGGCTTGGCCACAATGCCAGGAAACTATGGAGTTCTATTTCACTTAAGCTGAAAGGCTATGCATTTTTAAAACCTGAATTCTGGGGGAAAAAAACTCGAAAAGATGGCAAGAATTTTACCGTATTATGTTATTATAAAGGAGTAAGAAAAAAGGAGACGCAAAAGACACTTACAATCCCTCTACCACTAGCACTCCTGGATTCTGAAAATCTTGTCAGATCATAATGCTTTGCATGTTTCTGTTTTGGGACAATAGACTAAAATGGTTATTTCTTCAACCAATACATAACCGGCCAGTTAGGAAGTGGAGCGTGAGAGATTGCTAAGTCTTTATAGAAAGTTTAACATGTCATCAGAATAAAGTGGCACTTGCAACCAATTGGAAAAGCTTCATTTGGTTTCCAAACAAAGCAATATGTCTGCAGATTCCGCTGAATCCTTCATGAACAACAGACCAAGCACAGTAAACCCAAATATAGTTAACTAGAATAATGACAGAGCTGCCATCTATGAACAATGTTGCAGGATTAGGCTCATTGTATTCATTTCCCAACCTTTAGCAGTACAAAAATGTTCCAGATGCAGTAGTTGGAAGGGTTTCGCAGCCCAGAAGAAGTGCTCAGGATCAAGTACTGCAAACCCCTAGTGAAACCTAGTCCACTTATTTGACCCTTTGGCTTCACACAATGATGATCAGATCTAGCATCTTAGCTAGTACAAAAGCATGGATATGTTCTCCTCCAGTTTCCCTTTCTTAGAATAAATCTGTTTATATTTTTTAAGGTTGAACAAAAGTCAGACACATTCGACAGAACTGAAGAAAAGGACGCGTGCCAACTGTTGAACAAAAGTCAGACACATTCGACAGAACGCGTGCCAACTGCCTAACACACTGCAGCACATGGGCCATGGCAGAAGATTTGCTGGGAGGACTGGGGAGTGAGATGCGGCTTACGCCTTCCTTGCCGGGGACGACGCAGTTCCAGAGCATGAGGTTGACGGAGCCATCCGGCAGCGTCTCCGGCTTGGCCACGAAGCCCTGAAAAGAAGGAAGCAAGCATCGCATCAACTCCCCAATCTTAAAACAGCAACGGAGCGTGGATCTACTAGACTAGCAGTAAGAAGACGCGGCGAGGATGATGGCGCGCACGCACGTGGGGGTGGCTCTTGCGCCACGCCTTGCGCTCCTCAGCGAGGCGACCGCGGGCGGCGCCTCCAGACGCCATCCGACGAGCCCGGCTCTGGAGCGCTGTGCCTGTCCTTTCGGGGGAAATCGCGCGAGAGCAGTGGTTGGAATTGGGAATTTGGGATCGAGTGGAATAGTGGATGTTTGCGCGCCGCTCCGGTTCAGCTCCCAGTGGGTTTAGGACATGTTAATGGAATGCAGTTGGCGGCCCGAAGCGCGAGGTAGCTTTTTTCTCCTCTTGACGTGGGCTTGGGCCTTCGCTTACCAGCCCATGTTCTCTCTCTCTCTTGACGTTTTTTTTGGGAGCATAAACAAAAGAAAATGTCATTTTCATCTTCTGAATTACTATTAACATAGTATATGTTATTTTCTCTAACTTCAAAACCAAGTAAACTACCTCTCTTAACTTTAAAAACCATTTAAATTGACCCCATGTCCTGGTTAGAGGTGGGTTGTCATTTGTAATTAAAAAATTCTAATAAACACTTGAGTAAGGTTTTTAAACTACAAAAAATATCTCTAAGGTTACTAAGATTTTGAGAAAAATCAAGATTGGGACATCCAAATAAAATATTTAGAGATTGCGAAAAATAAATCTAGAAGCTTCCAGAAACCCGATTTGGCTCTAGGGAAATGGAAAGAATATCTAGAAAAATTTCAAAACATTTTAATCAATGTCTAAACACATTTAAAAATTCTCCATAATAAAAACATGATATGTAACTAGCATGAATAATGCATTCATGTTGGTTGAATCTCGTGTTTTTGTCGTGAAAAATTTATAAAAAGACATTTAGAGTGATTGAAATGTTTTGTTAATTTTTTAAGAAAAATCTAGATATTTTTCCCATTTCCCTAGAGCTAAATTTATTTTTGAGACATAATTTCATGGTTTATATATACTTTTATTTGAGTTTCTTGTATCCCAGTCTATCTCTATGTTTTTTTCTCAAAAGTTTACAAGCTTGGAGACCATTTTTGTGATTTAATAACCTTTGAGTGTTTACTAATTTTTTTAATGAAAATGGTAAAATCAGCCTAAAAGCCGCTCCTAACAAGAGCAAGGAGGTAACAAAAATGGTTTTGACCTACCAATCAAGTCAATTGGACAACTATGGCAACGGTCCTGCCTGACTCGATTTAGGCTCAGTTTAGATGCCAAATTTTTTTACAAAATGATACTGTAGCATTTTCGTTGTTATTTGACAATTAATGTCCAATCATAGTCTAATTAGGCTTAAAAGATTCGTCTCGTGAATTTCGTCTAAACTGTGTAATTAGTTTTATTTTTTATTTATATTTAATGCTTCATGCATGCGTCCAAAGATTCGATGTGACGGGAAATCTTGAAAAATTTGGCATTTTGAAGGGGAACTAAACAGTCCCTTGCTGAATTTCCCCTAACAGAGGTAGTTCTGGACTGTATCACATCGATCCCACCGCACTCTGTTCGGTTGAGGATTGTTTTTTATTTCTTTGAAAATGATTAAGCAACTAAGTGCTCTCTATTAACTCGGACATGCTGCTGCTTGTCTTCTCTACTTGGACCATATTTTTTTTAACCTTCTTGTTCAGCTTCAATTGCAAACAAAGTTACTTTCAGCAATTCCGTGTTACGCTGGTAACGGAATCCGGGACAGCCAGTTACGAAAAAGGAAATGTGAATCAGATCACTCATATTTGCAGACACTAAAAGGCACAATATAGAACAGAAGCTTTGCTTCATGTACGACAAACCACTGAAATGCATTTAAAAAGTTCCAACAAGCCTACTGAAATGATGAATAATATAAGCACAATCTTGACAATGTCCAACGAAGTGAGGAACTGGTTTGGTGCCAGAGATGGTCCAACGTTACATAAGTGAAGAGGAACTGGTTTGGTGCCAGAGATGGTCCAACGTTACATAAGTGAAGGGTAACGCTTGGCCTGTTGACGAACACGACTCTTATACTCTGGCATATCCTGCAAACGACAATGAATGGCACACAAGAAAACGCAATGGTAAGTGCCTGACTGAATTGTAAGGATGCAAATTCCATATTATATTTTGACTTCCTACTGTAAGTTTTTATAAATTATGTAAAAAAAACCTCTATAAAGAGCTTGTAGCATAAGTTCTGCGCTGAGGAGGCTGGATTTGGATTATCAAGAAGGCCCTGAATGCCGATTAGAATTTGCCACACTGTGATAGAAGGTTTCCATGCCTGAAAGAAATATATATAGAAAAAAATGATGGCCAAGTGATCAGTGATGCTTTCTGTATGGCATGCAACTGACTCATCCTGTAAATATAGTACACAGTTGAAACTTACGCTGCCAAGGATCGACAAGCATACTGAACCAGTTTTGTAGACATTAACATGGAAGAAACCTGCCGGAAACTTGCAGTCGGGAGGTCTACTTGGGTAGTCTTCAGTAAAATGCAAAGTCAATGGGAAATGCCCACCCTCCCAATCAGTCTGCATATATATAGACATAATTAAGAAATGTTGCTCAACAAGATGAGGAAAAGGACAACAAATCTATGGTGCCTCAATTGCAAAGAGTGTCTTTAAACGTTAAAATGGCAGAGAACTGCTGTTTTATATTAATTTTATGACGGGGAGGAGTCAAGACCTAGGCCAGAAAAAGAGCTAGTGAAAGTAGCTTCCAAGCATTTCATAAGTGTCAATATATTTCAACACTTAAGATATGAATATGAATTAATGTGTAACTCACTTTCGTTCCAAATAAAGGATTGACTACTCCGAATGAGGTAGTATTATAAACTAGGTGTCATCTAGGACACTTACAGACATAATATCAAGTAATCAAGGTTTAAGGAACAGAGAGATAGGAGCAATATATATAACCTGTGCACAAAAAACTTTTGAAACCTGCATGTATTTTGGAATAATTGTTATTGACACAATTCATACAACTGACTTGTGATTTATAATAAACAACACCATGGCATTCATGGTCCCTCCAATGCGTATTGCCTTGCTTCAGTTAGATGTCCAACTAGGATAAAAGATGGCAATGACAGGATATTTGAGGAGAGGTTGAGCTAGTATCTCCACTAAAAAAACAAGCTGGATTCAATAAACAAACTACTTCGTTGGATATGCAAATACTAGACATTTCGGTTAAGGTTCGAGTCAAACTAATAAAACTTTGATGATTACAAAAATATCACGTTTGGAGAGGTAGGACTAAACAATAGATTGGAAATAGCCTTAACAAACTTTTCTGCGGAAGTGCAAAAGTCTTGTTTGTTGTCTTTTCACCTTTTTTCTAATATAAAAAAGGAACCATATCTAATTGTCCATGCGGCCCTGATGTCACTAGGGCACGTCATTTCTCTTTCGATGCAATATCTTAAAATAGTTATGCTTCCATCAACACGATTCAAAAAAAAAAAATAACAAGCGGGATTTGGAGTTGTAGCATAATATTCCCGAAAGTTCTTGTAGCATAAGAATAAGTGACAGATATATAAAATTCAGAGCAACACATTGGGGGTCGTCACGCAAGAAGACGGCCGACTTGAATACTTTTGCCAATTGCCACCATGCACAGCGCTGCGGAACATATGAGAAGGTTACGTGCTGGGGGGTGAGTTTTGCTTACGCCTTGCTTGCCGGGGACGACGCAGTTCCAGAGCATGAGGTTGACGGAGCCGTCCGGCAGCGTCGCCGGCTTGGCGACGAAGCCCTGAAAAAGAAGATAAGCAAGTATTGTCATCAACGCTCCAAACTTACAACTGCGAGGGAGCGTGTAGATCAGTTAGCAATAAGAGGAAGACGTTGATGGCGCGCACGTGGGGATGGCTCCTGCGCCAGGACTTGCGCTCCTCGGAGAGGCGGGCGCGGGCGACGCCTCCGGAAGCCATACCTAGCCAGTGGGGGACCCAGGATCTGACACCAGGTAGTCCTGTAAAAAAAATTCATGTGTAATACTATAAAATCCAAACAAAAGTTCAGCAAACTTAGCTATAAATTAACCAAATTATGATAATACATTTAAAATGTTGGAAACTTACATAAATATTCACTCCATACTGGTAAAGAAAGCGTTTAGGACATGATTTAGCATACAAGAGTGATTAATTAAGGGTATTTTCCTGCAGCGCATTACGGTATTGCCTATCCAACTGAGTCCGGTGCGTTGCAACCCGAGGCGAGAGGTCTGTGGTCGGCCTGGTGTGTTATTATTTTGAAGAGCTTGTGGATTTGCGATGTCTTCGGTCTGGGCTGAGACGAAGAAGAGCATTTGGGTCAGTTTCTCAAGAGTAGTAATAGAATTTTGGGCCAAATTTGTGGGTAGTCCTGGGCCTATCCAGGCTACCCACTGGGTCCGCCACTGTACCTACCAGCCGAATGGACCCTGCAGGCCGCCTCCAACAAGAGCAGCGGCTGCAGCGCGACGCAAGACGACGCCTGAGTCCGGTGGTGTGGTGGCCTGGTGGAATAAAAAGGAGGGGTCGAGGGGAGTTACCGCGGCCCGCGGGTGGTGGAGTGCCAACCCGACTCGTCGGCTACCGAGGTTTTATCCCCGGCGGCGGCGGCCGTGCCGCTTCTTCTTCTCTTTCCTTTACTTCTAGTAGTAGAATTAAATAATATGAAGTTTTATTAGGCAATATTTGTTAAGAATCGCAAGAATTTAGAAAGTAATCTAATAATGGGAAGTACTCTCTAGATATTTATTTCAAATCATAGGATCCAAACAGACCTTGGAAAAACACTTAGGAGTTAGGATAATAATCTATTCTGTCGAAGAGGAAGAGAGGAGCATGACTCAGCGTGAGCTTCTTTTGCTGCGACTCTTGTTACTGTTACCACTACTTACCGGCCCATGCCATAAAAATTATCGGCCCAGTGTGTGTGGGTCTGACCAAATGGGCAGCACAGTATTATAATTTTGGGTCATAATCTATTTGATATTTTGATTGAACGGTGGGGTACCAAAGTTGCGTACCCCGCAATGAACCGTAATGGATCAAGCGATACGATACAAATTGAAAAAGTCCGTCCGCCTCCTTCAGACTATTGCGCAAGTATAATCTCCTCTCTTCAATTAGAAAATCATATTTTTTTAGAAAAATCACTAGCTTTTCAAACCATCTGATTTACGTACCTCTTTAGGCCTTATTTAGATGTTATCGTATTCACCTTAATCCATGTGTGTTAGGCGATTGGGGGTGGAATTTAGTTTAAATTCCACTCCAATCCACCACAACACACGTAGATGGATGCGAATCCGACTACATCCAAACAAGACTTTAAGCGGTTTTACCTAACATGGTGCCACGTCACGAGGGAGATAAATCATACTTTTACGATAGTTTAGGGGTTAGTTAAACTTTATCCAAAAGAAACAATAGAAATATTTTTAAAAATATATAAATATTTTCTAGAAAAAATATACATTTAAAAATACCCAAAATCTAATGTAATCTTAGAATGTTCATAGAAATTTTGTTTTAACTTAGAAAAATATGAAACCATCTATATAATTATTTTCTAAAATCATGCTCTACATTTTTGTTCCTTGCTTAGAATTAATTGAATCTTATATGACCTCCTAAAACATGAAATTGGACCAAATATGAAATGGAAGATGTAGACCAGGACAAATCCTTGCAGACCACAACATGAATCACTATGCAACCTGCTATGCAAACTGCAAATAATGTTTTTTTCAGCATCAATGTTTTGTTTAGCCATCCATACATGCACGGGAAAATCCAAATAAAAATATATCATGCTTTTTAACTTTGTAGCGGCACTATCTTCTCCGAAGGCAGGCGGCGGACCACAGGGTATGCTAGGTGGGCCACGGGCTTTACACACTTCACTTGCTTATCACATTAAATAAAAGAAAACTTTTGTGTTCTTTGGTGGTTCGAGCCCTTTATAGCTTTTGTTTCTTTTTAATTTTTCAAACTTTTATCTGATTTTACTTTCATTTTTCAAAATTTTATCCACTCTTTTGTTACGTCCATGAGATCTACTCACCTTATTAGATACAGTTTTACTTTTATTTTTCAACTTTTTATCTGGTGTGTCCCCTGAGATATTCTCACCTATTTTTTTGTCCCATCTTTGTTGTGTTCTGCAGGATTTCACCAACGTTTTAGTTTTTACTTTTCAATTATGTATCTCCTCTGAAAGTTAATAACTATAGATAATATGCTTCATCCTTTATTTTTTTCTAGTTTTGTCTTTTTGCTATTTTTATCCTATCTTATTGTATTTTTTATGAAATCGTCACCTTGAAGCTCGTCATGTAAAGTTTAGATTCTTACAACCTTGCAGGTATTAGCCCAGTGGAGCGTGACATGGTTGTTGAATTGTGCCGTGAGCATATGCCAAATAAAGTAGTTCTGTAAGATTCTTTTTCGAATAATTTGAACTACTGAAATAGTGTTTGGACTATTTGTATTGTAATTTATTTGTCCAAATTTTGAGTTTTAGAATTTATATACTGAATTGCGGAGCAAATTCCTATAATTATACCGAATTGCTAAATGGAGGTGACTGAATTGCATGAGTTTTTTTTTTTTTGTGGCATACCCTCTAGCGAAATCCTAGGTCCGTCACTATCCAAAGGACATCACGACGATGGCGTGTGAAGACTCACTAGACCATCAGCGGTAGCCGGCGTACAACTTCTCACACTGGATCCGATATTAGCGACTTTGCTGGCAACATCTGGATGGACGCGACCACTTCCTTGTTCGTCGTTGACATCTTAGGTTTGCGCGCGCATTGAAAGCATGTGAAGGAGTAGGAAGGCATTTTACACAGGCTCGGGCTTTGTTGTTCCTAAAATCATGCTACATATTATGGTGCCTAACTCAGAAAGACATGAACATGATTTACAAAAAAGATAAAACTATTTTCATTTTCTGGTTTAAATTTTTTCTAATATTAAACCAGATTTTAGTATTTTAAAATTCATATATTTATTCAAAAAAATTGGATATTTTTTGAAAATTATTTCTATTTCGTTTTTTGAAAAGTTTATTTAATTGACCCGCTGAACTATCGCGAAATTCCGACTAAAAAATCTGGAGGAGTCTAAAATCTGATTTTTGGATTGAGGGAGACAAATCAGACTTGTGCAATAGTTGAGAGAGATCAGATCAAACATTTTCCAAACAAATTCATTTGGAACTGTTGAAGCAGGTACATCTGCTTAAATGGATCAAGGGATCAACTGAAACAAATCTCAAGCGTAGCGGGCTGGGCCAAGGCGAAGTCAGTGGAGTCGATAGGCATTATGTAAAGTCGAGCGCTGCAAATGTTGTGGTTATCATGCAACTTTACATCCTAAATACTCTGAATCATCCGTCGCGAATTCTCCCTGAATCCATTGGTCTCGAATTCTTGCTGTTCTACCTGGAATCCCTTGGTCAGTTGCGTGGAGAACGTAACACTTTTGTCACACAAGAAATTGAACGAGACTGCGTGATCCATGAAAGAATGGACAGCATGTTAAAGACATACAGCGAGTTACAGTGTTTACAGTTTAACTACAAAGAACTTACGACCGTATAATAAGTACAACTAATACCCCCGTGTTTACGTCCAACATTATTTCAACCAAAGTATTACCGCAGGGGAAAAAATTACATAAAAGAATGTTAATCGAAGTTCCTAATAAAGAAAGAGAAATTTGAAATTACAAACAATTGTTTTCCTTCCAAGGTTTCCAGTCTGCACCGTGTCACAACGTGGCACAGTACTCGCTCTCGAGCTCGTCCGGCGTGGTGCGCGAACCGGCCGCTGACGGCGCGCGCACGTGCCCGACCATGGACACGCGCAGCGCCTCCTCCTCGTAGGCCCGCCGCTCCATCTCCGCCATCTCCGACTTGCGGCGCTGGATGCTGACCACGGCCACGGCGACCATCCCCAGAAGCACGGTGCCGCCCGCGCCCAGCGCCGCGCCGAACAGCGCCAGCTTCCACTTGCTGACCTCCCCGATATCCGCCTCCCCGGCGCCGCCGCCGCCACTGCCGCCGCCGTCGCCGGCTCCACCCACGACGAGCGCGAAGTGGCCCTGGTCCGACGCGTTGCAGGTGTTGGTCCCCTCCTCCACGTCCGTGACGGTGACGCTGCCGTTCAGCCCCACGGCCAGGCAGAGCGCCGCGCCGCCCGGCTGGAGCGCGGGGATGGCCACGGAGAAGTTGACGCGGATGGCGGCGCCCGTGAGGTCGATCTGCAGCGCCGCCGTGCCGTTGCGCCGCGCCAGGCCGTAGAACATGAGCCCGAGCACCGGCGACGCGAGGCGGTACCCGGCGCCCACCGCGTACTCGTCGTACACGGAGGAGAGGTTCCCCAGGTTGACGCGCACCGCGATGAGGTGCGCGGCGGCGCGGCCGCGCACGGCGAGCCCCTGCGGCAAGGAGAACTCGCCGAACCGCCTGACGCCGTACCTCTGGAGGCTCCCCGCGCGGAACCGCGCCACGGTGGCGTCGACGCCCGACAGGCTCCCCGGTAGCGAGAGCGGGTACGCGACGCCCGTCCTCCGGTGCCGCCCGTGGTACCACTCCTCGGCGGCCTCCTGCACGACGTCGTCGAGCAGGACCGTGTCCTGCAGCTGCAGCTCCTGCTGCTGCTGCTGAGGAACGGCGAGCGCAACGGTCCCCGAGAGGGACAGCAGCAGCAGCAGCAGAACACTTGTCGTCATGGCAGCTGGAAATAGAAGCGGTGGCGTGATACAGGGACAGCATGGGGACATTTTAGTTGGACGAGTGAAAGCGAGCATGATGGCGACGCGAAAAGCTTCTTTGTAATGGCGTAGCATCAAGCTGTGACTTGTGATGGAAGCATATGGCACTGTGGCAGAACTGCAGTAGCATGTAGAATGGTTAGGTTTCGATCTGGGTTAACAGGAGAGTAATGTATGCGCCATTGTACGGGAGGGAGCGTGATGGCAGGATGGTGTATGATTTATTACCGGGCGAAAGTGTACGTAGGGGTGTGGTTTGCAGGGACAGGACGGGATTAGGTTTCTTGTAGAGCTGTTGATTAGCCCTGGTGGTGACTGGTGAGGGGGCAGTAGTAAAAAGCTCGCCACTTGCGAGACATGGATTGGGGACGAAGGTTCTTCATCAGTCCAGCTATAATCATTGCACCCTATTCGTTTGATCGTATCAGTCATGCTTATCCGCCATGATACAGTGTTTTTTTCTCACAACAAAACAGCATCAGCCGGCTTATAAGCCACAGAAACGATCAAACGAACATGGCAACATGTCCCTGGAACTCTGGATGCCAGCAGGGGAATTGTCAAAAGGAAGGAGGCCTTTTTTTTTTTTGAAGCAGCTCCTGCTCCTGCAATCGAACGTTCCATGGAAGCTATTCCTAGCTAGCTACGTACTCTGCAACAGGGTGTGTGTGTGAACTCTGAAACATGAAAAAAGCACCATTTTCTTCGTCCAGATTTCAGAACATTCGGCTCTTTCAGTAGGAGGGGAAGGTGCCGTCTGATTTGGGAGTAGGGTAGGGATCTGATCTCAAGAAGATTAGTTACTCAGTGCACTGTTCTCTACAGTATGAGTTGTTCCGTTGCCTGATGCATTTATGGAAGACGTACCTATACGGTTCGCTGGAATTCAGAAGCCTGACACTACAGTACCACATACCCCAGGCTACTATACAAAGTGCAAAGATGGAGTACTGATGAAACTATTATTCACAAAACTTTTTTGATACCAAGAGCTTCTGAGCTTGGCTTCACCAGTCCGTTCTCACTTAACCACTTGGATAGATTGATTAATTTGCTGCTTCTCTGCCATGCTTTGCAGTTTGCACTTTTGCAGCACTGTTGGTCTGAATCTGAAAATCTACAGCAGTCAGCAGGACATACAGGTCTGCTGTCAGTTTTCAGTGACTTGGCGGAATGATCGATTGGGAGTGTGTGCTCACTGGACGGACGGAGGCAGCAGCAAGCCAGCAACTCCCCTCTGCTGCGCGATTTGATCTGGATGAAATGATTGCGCGGGCATCGGCGTGCTCGCGGCACCATTAGGCTTGCCCACGAATTGTCTGCTCGATCCATTGGGCGTTATTATTGAGGGCCCAAACGAGCATTGCTTCAGAACAGTGCTACAACGGTCGTCACTCGTCAGCCATTAACGCATGGGTAAAATGTTCTCCTCCTGCATCAAATCTTGCTTGGTTCAGGCGCATCTATCTACCACTAGTCTGTAACAGCAGGAGCCTTAAATCAGCTGACAGGGTGCGACAGGTGCTCCCCGAGCAGGTTGTGTTCTTCCTCTAGTGTGTCGAGTGAGTGTGCTGCTAGTCTGTAATCCTCTGCTATACTCCTAGCTCCTATCTCTTTCTCCTACTTTTATAACCCTGCACTCCTTGAGCTTGCCGGTGGAATGAAATCTTCAGGAGGGCTTACTTAGGGCAACTCCAACCAACTCCGCAAAATTTAGCCCCCTACCCCCACAAACAAGGATCCCTCGTCCATATTCCAACCCTCATTTCTCTCTGCTCTCCAACCAAACTCTTATTTCTTATTTCAGGCTCCCTATTTTCTCTCACCTATATTTTATACATAACTTATAACTACCAAGTCCAGCATTTTATATCTAAACTACGTTAGTATTATTGGAATGGATATTTTTTAATGACAATTTTGTATGGCTAAATATTGAAGGAAATATTTTTTCAAATAATTTAGAACTATATTTTTTTATTTGTCAGTCTTAGAACGGCTATATATTTGAACGGACACTCTTCCAACGGCTATAAATCAAACAGTCGCTCTATCTGCAATGGTTATATTGTTCAACATGTGTTTCAACTTGAAAGTCATCAAAACACAGATTATTGTTGTCCCATTGCCTGAGAGCAAATCAACCCAACTCTCCATTTGTTCTTCCTGGATATAGGAATTGACTATATTAACAAATTAATCACAACCTTTTCATTAAAAAAAAAAGAATCAAGCACAAGCCAAAATTGATTAATAATGCCAGTCCTTACTTCTCACCACACTCTACATCTTTCGCTCACAGCACTCGCTCTCTCTGTCTTCACTTTGCAACGCTCCCCTCTCTCTATGTCTTCACTCTACAACCCACGGCACCAACGCACGGCGGGGGCACAAGAGGGTCAAGAATAAGCAAGACGGCAACCATGCAGCACAAAGAGAAGGTCATGAAAGCAGACAACTGACAATAGGGCGCGACCTTGTTGGCCAGCCGGAGGGCGACGCTGAATCGTCGGCGAATGAAGAGCAGCCAAGGTGGCCCAAGACGCAGGCGCCAAGCAAGCGGCGGCGGCCACGCCGCCCAGATCTACGAGGTATATTTTGTATCCCGGTCTCCCATCCATCTAGAAGCCGAGAAAGCAGCCATGGATGCCACAATAACGAGAAGAGGGGAACAGGGACGTACCAACTTGGAGATCTCCGCGGCAGCGCGGGAAGACGACCGTTGGCCCGCTCGGTGGATGAGGCTCGGGATGAGAGTCGCTCAGATGTGGGGGACGAGGAGAGAGGAACGAGGGATCCTCATCCGTCGGGGCTCAGATAGGAGATCGGTTGAAGAAGTTTTTTTTTCGTTTTAGACCCTCAAAATAAGATGAGGGATGGGATAGGATGTTGGCTGGAGTTGCCCTTAGCTCCCGGTGATTCAACGCGGGGGGCGGAGTGGGCTCATGTGGCTTTTTATTAACGGTACACAAGTTTGTCTTGGTCAAAGTTTTTCTGAGACCCTTTTTGCCGACCATCATATTTGCAGTCATGACACGACTCTTATTATTTGGTTTTCTCAAAACCTTTTCAGGCGTTTATTACATGTACAAATCGTGCAAACAACCTGTTTTTTCTACATGTTGTGGGATTGTAACTGTGCTGAAGAGGTTTTCTTTTTTTTCCCTTTTCTTTTTAGTTTTTGCTGAGGTCGAACCTTCTCTCTCTGATTGCCAGTTGCGACATCATCTAGAAATGGCAATGCACGCAAATGGGGTGATCTAAAGGAAAAGGTGGCCTGTGAGCATCTTCAAGAGCCTTTCTAAGTCTCACTCTCTAAATCATCATTTGGAGAGTCATTTGCATAAAAATTGCTTTCTATATCTTTTCACTCTCCAACAGTTTTTCTATATCTCATGCGCACTTTAGAGAGTCATTCTCGTCTTCTATTTTTTGCTAACGAAAAATCTAGAATAGAAGATGGCTATATTTGGATAACCATTTGGAGAAACTATTGAAAGATAGTTTTTCACCAAATTCTTTATTCCTAGCATTTAGAAAAGATTTAAAGAGTCTCTTGGAGATGCTCTATCTGAAGAAAAATGTGTCATGTGGGTATTATTTTTTTTTCGAGAAGAATGTGGGTATTATTAGTTGGACCACACGACTACTCCACAAAATAGCAACTTGGGCTATCGGCACAATTCAGCCCAATACACGGTTTTGTGCTTCTTCGGTTCTTCCAACCTGCGTGCACCCACACGGACCAGCATTGAGAGAGAGAGAGTACTCATAGACGATGTAGATACATTGAGTATCCCTTGATATTAGCGTGGCATAACCATAAATCAATAACCTCGTTTTTAGAGAAAATGAGGCCAAAACATACATCTCCCGATTAATTTTAGAAAACCTGAGCTAAACTACAGCACCACCTAGCTAAACTAGGCCTCAAAGGTAACCACTGACCAGTCCCAGCACAAGGATGAAGATGTGGCATAACCACGGCTAAGAAACAGGAAGTCCCTACACAAGGACCAATTGTGCCACAACCACATATGGCAACCAGAGATAGTAAAAAGACACAATTAGGATTTCAAGGCACCTGTACTGGATCACCTTTGCAGTTCACTGGGCACAAGAGCTTCTTCGACACCTCCTCTAAGGAGCGATATGATGCCTGAGAACTTTGCCGTCGTCAACCTTAGCATGAGCCATGCAAGGCATTCACCCAAAGGCCCTGTGTAAAGAAGGAACCTATTAGGATAAGACTGACGTTTCACAGGATGTCATTGATGTGAACTGCACCTATAGATAAGGTCGACCTGTTCCGTTTTCTACTTTTCTTCCGTCCGTTTTCGTATTTGTGGGATCCCGTTTCCGTATTTACGGAAACAGAAAAGGGGTTTTCTGTCCGTTTCCTCGAGATCCCGTTTTTATCCAGAATTGACCCGTATTTATTCTGTTAGTTCATAAACCTACCAATCACAAATTATGCATGTTAACATATTAACACATGGTATACTAGTGAATATTGGACCGATAATTTCGTACGTGTATATTATTTTGTGACTTTGTTCATGTATACTCAAGAATATCTGATCATGTTATTCTAACTTATGTCTCCGTCCGTATTTGTCTGTTTCCGTATTTCCGTATATCCCCATCCGTTTTTAATTCCGTTTTTTCCCGAACCCGATCCCGTTTCTGCTAAAAATATAGAAACGGAAATAGGAGAGGAGTTTTTCCACCCGTTTCCGTCCGTTTTTTCCGCCCGTTTCCGTCCGTCCGCCACCACCTCGACTCCTTCATGCTCCGCCGGTCGTTTGCTCCGGGCTGGCCCAACCTACAACACAAGCCGTGCTTTTCGGTCTAGCCCGACATAGGAAAGGGTCTGGTGTGCCATCCCTCGGCCGAAGGCCAGGCCCGTGGTCCTAATCAGCCTGAGCCGATGTCTACGGGTCGTGCTTTCACCAGGCAAGTGTCGTGCCAAGCCAAGCGGCCCGTTTGGCCATATTTAACTGCAGCAAGTGGTCTTCTGCAGCGCCTCCAACCACACCACCCACCCCGTCATTCCTACACCTAATCAAACACTATGTCGAGCCAGGCTGAGAAAAAAATGCTAGGTCAAAATCTTTGGCCTGAGCATGACCAGACGCACTGGTGAGTCAGGCCGGTTTGTTTATTTTTTGAATGGATCAAGTCAGGTGGGTGTGTCGAGTGGCCCATAATTAGGCATAGTCGTCATGTGCCACCGAAGTCGCAGTACGTCACGAGGCCATGCCGAGGCCCATGGAAGGGAAAATAGATCCACGATAGGGGCCAGATTGGTCCTTGGGGGAGGCCTGAACCCTTTGCAGCCACATGCTTCCATGGTCGCTGAGGATCAGAGCGCACAATAGAGAAGAAAGACAGGTGTGAGACTATGGATGGCTATACGCCACCATGGGCCGCCGCTGCTACCTGACGGTCCACAGCGGCAGCGGCCAGAGCCCAGAGCAAGGGGGTGGACGGAGAGCTTTTCTGGTGACGGTGGAGTCGCCCCTCCCATCACTCTGATAGACGTTGATGCGGAGGTGTACACGTTTTTTAGAGGGCTCCCAAAGTCTGAAACTCAGATTTGGCAAAACGAATTATTACTTGACCGCCAATGCTTGTATGGTTGATAAAATTTCCCGAAGGGGTCGTGCAAGAACCAAGAATTTGTGGCAGCAAAGCGAAGTACTATGATGCCGTGCAGCATCGCAACGTGGACATGCATCGATGCCACGAGGCAGCAGCTGCGTTCGCACTAGGACCCGGCAAGCACTTCGGCACATGTGAAGCACCATTGGCTCCTGGCACGTACGATGCCTTCCACTTCCAGTGTTGCACAAGATCCCAGCCCTCGATCTTGTCACCTGGTGGACCGTGGATCCAGCTTCTCCCTCCAACTAGAACTAGATCGTCACCCTCGTGGCCTCGCCCTGCACGCACTTCTCCGTTCCTCTTCCGGTGCTTGTCTCTTGGCAGCACCGGCCGAGCGCAGGCTTTTCCCACAGCTTCTTGTCTCTTGGCGTTTTCATTTCCTCCCCAGTCCCCTGATCGCGACAGGAAATTGCGAGCTGCTGCTAGAGCTCGCCACCAGCGCTCATCGTATGGCCTAGTTCGATGCGCCGGCTGGTTCTTCGTTATAAACCAGGAAGTGATCCAGCAGTTCTTCAATCTCACTACTCTTCATCGTTATAAACCTGTTATATTGTGATCGATAGGGCATTTTCTGTGCAGCTTTTCCCCATAGCCCTTGATGGTCACCAATATCTTCTCTATCTCTCCTTAAATAAAGGGAGAGTTGTATCTCCTATAATAGTGTACGACCACCCCCAACCGCTGATTTTTTACGCTGCTGTAGCGTAGTGTCCACCCAACTGCTGGGATAACGCCGCCTCGCTCCCCATGCGCCTCGCTCGTGACTCTGGCGAGTCCTCATGACCGCCCCGCTCCACGCATGCGCCCGCAACAACACGCGACCACCTCGTGTGCGCGACCGAGGACGAGGCTACCTCCGTCTCCACATCGCCGTGACTCCGGCGAGTCATCGGCCAACCCGTGCGTCGCGGCCAGGGACGAAGCCGTATCTCTTCCCGCGTGCCTCGCCCAGGAGTTCGGCAGTGGCGAATAGAGGTGTTGGTACTCGGTAGCACATGAGAAGAAGTGAAGGACCGACGGGAAAAAAAAGGAAAACAGATAAATTCTAATCTCACAGGTGGGTCCCATATATTAGGCAAGATTATTGGTGATCTATTGTAGTATCTTATTGGGGAGCTGCTGGAGATGCTTTAGTCACCTCTGATTTAAAGATCAAGGAACATATTTAATTCTATCTCTCAACACTACTACTACTGTACAAATGTATGTGCGTTTAGAGAAAGTCTTGTATTATAAGACTTGAATAAAAAGTTGTTACTCCCTGTTTCTAAATAAATAGATTCCTAGCAAATTTAAAGTAGATTAGAATGTCAGAGAAAAGATCATATTATCCTTCATTAACTGAAATAGTTGCACACTAATCGATAATTGCTTCAGTAGCACACTAATTATAACATTTACTACACACATCCAACTGGAGAAACTCAAAACTGGATTAAAAGATGAGAGGGGTAAAGTAAATGTGTGGGGACTTCCAGAAAAATAAATGAGCTAGTGGACCATTGAACTTTCTAGAGATTGATTTATTTGTAGACCAATTCTTGAGTTAGGCATCTGAGAGTACGTTTTATATATCAGGACGGACGAAGTACCTAAAAAAACCAGGACGACTTATAATTTGAGACAAAGAGAGTACTAAGTCTGTTCACAAAAGGATATAATTTACATGCATTTTTTATTAACGTGACTAAATTTTAACCAAATATATATATTGATAATAACAATATTAATATTTATTACACTGAGTAAGCACTCCCTCTGTCTTTGAAAGAATCGATTTCTAGGCCAAAAATTTGTCTCCAAAAGAATCAATTTCTAGAGATGAGCGGTCCACCGATCCACGTTAATTTCTCTTGTAGTCTGGGTTGCATTTAACACAACCTCTCTCTCCTACGCTGCTATTGGATACTCCAAACAACACTACTTAATAAGGCTTCTTGATAACTGGAGAGTTATTAAGGTTCAGTAGTTTAACGAGGAGCAGCATGATCTTTTATCTTCTTTGCTAATCTGTCCTAAAATTGCTAGAAATTCATTCTTTCAGGGACAGAGGGAGTATAGCATAAAAATATATCTCATGGTAAATCTAGTAATACTTATTTCAAATTATAAATATTGATATTTTTTATTTATAGCTAGTCAAAGTTAAGATATTTTAACTTGCCCTTATCAGATGCAGCGAACTTGAAACAGTGGAAGTATTCCCTAACAGGATTACAATTTTCCTAGGGTTCCTTTGACATAATATCATTTGTGCTGAGGCTAGTTTTAAAAGACAATGGGCCGGAGGATGTGTGATCCCATGCTATCATCTCTATCTCTATCTCTACAACAACCATAAAAAAAAACTGCAAATGTCCCGTCTACCAGGCAGCAACAAAATCCACCCCCAAAAGCCCCCGGTGATTTTTTTTACTGCACCGACAGGTGGGGCCACACCCGCTCACGCCGCTCCTACCATTGCCTCTCGGGCAGCCACCGCCCCTACTCCGTCACCCTGCCGCTGGCGCCATGACCGGCGCGCCGGTCCACGCGATGGGCACCTGCGGCACTGCCTCTAGACCTCTGCATCCCGGCCCCACGCCACAGGAGCCGCGGCCGGCCCTCCACATCCCAGCCCTACGCCGCAGGATCCGTGGTGGCCGTGGGCTTCGAAGCGGGGTACGAGCTGGTGCCAAAGACGGGGCCGGCGACCATAACCGGCGTGCTGCTCGGGCTCCACGAGACAGAGGATGAACGAGACACGCCAATCCAGGTGAGAACACGATCAGTTAGCTGTCTCATTTGATTGATTTGGTGCGCCTGTGGTGGAATTTTGGGGAAACTATCTCTGCTTGTTTATTAAAAAAAACTGCATCTTTCTTTGGTTGCTCCTTGGTGTGTGCGTTAGAATTTGGAGTAGTTTGTTTGCGAGTTAACATATTACGTGGTGGTCATTATAAGTCTTTAACAAAATTATGTTATACTGTTAGTTCCCTGATTTGTACTCCAGTGTCAACAAATTATGCCCCAGCGTGAGCCAGGGGACCAGAGATTTGGAAATCAAGCTTCCTTGATCATTTAGCAAGTCATACAATTTTTTCCTTTTTTTATGCCTGTTCTGCTGACTTTGTAGATTGCTATGCTTTTGATGATATATACTATAATAACGGGTTAAATATTACAGTATTGCAGAAATCTCTACATCTGAAAAGCGAAGTGAGGCCTGAGTGAAGGAAGTAGTATTGCAGAAATCTACAACTAAAAAGCGATATAAGTATTATTATATGTTGATGAGACATTTAAAGTTACAGTATGTATTAAGGAAAAAGGGAGGAAGGAAGAACTGAGCTAGCAGGGCGGAAGGTCGTAGTAACCATATAAGTTCAAGAGGTGAACCAAAATCACTTCCCATATTAACATGTACGCTGTAGATTATTAATTTCATATACTTGGGCATCCAATACAAAGAATCAATGTTTTTAATGGTTGAACAATTATGTTGTACTTTTGAGCATTGCTATCCATAAATCTAGGATTTGGCGTTCAGTTCAAGACACTGGGATATGCATGTTGAACTCAATGTAATTTTTTTTGACACTTATGTGGCTTCAGGTGATAGCTGAATAGCTTTTCGAGGGCTGCAAGATGCGACGAATCAATTCGATGAGCAGATGGTAATCGGAGATGCAGGCTTTGAGAAGGTCTACAAGACCATTATGCAGGATGGAAGCAAACTCGCAGTGAAGTGGGGCAACCAGAAGTGTCACCAAGGGCTGGGGGAGTTCCGTGCAGAAATTGAACTGATGTCAGGACTGTGACACCACCATCTAGTGTCGCTCATTGATTACTGTGATGGACACAGCAAGATTATCTTGATGTATGAGTACGTGGAGAAAGGAACTACCGGAGACAAGCTGACTGACAAATCAGACGTGTACTCTTTTGGTGTGGTCCTGCTCGAGGTGATTTGTGCGAGTTCAGTTAGCGACCTGACTCTTCCAAGGGACATGATTAACCTTGCGGAGTCAGCTATCGAGTGGCAAAAGAGGGGAGAGCTTGATCAGATTATCAACCCGCGCATCACTGGGACAATCAGGCTTCAAGCACTGAGGAAGTGTCCTACTATGGGGGATGTGCTGTGGAACCTGGAGTTTGTGCTGCAGCTGCACGAGGCAGGTCCAGACATGTCCAACATTGACCGTATGAACCAGATCTCCGAACTCCATTCAAATGCAAAGAGAGCAAGCTCCTTGGGTATCAAGTATCAACACTATAGATATGTTGACGAGTAACACCTTCTCACAGCTAATCAATGCAGAAGGAAGGTGAATTGGATAGAACTGTTCCAGAGTCACTGAAAAATGTTCAAGTTACAACTTCCCACAGCTAATCAATGCAGAAGGAAGGTGAATTGGATAGAACTGTTCCAGAGTCACTGAAAAATGTTCAAGTTACAAAAACTAGAAAGAGATGCCTCTTGCTTGACCACACTGTCTATCCCTTCTCCCATATACAAAACCGAGTTCTGAATTGCATTGAAATTTGGCTTGCCTCTTGTAATTACTTGTGTGCTAGAAAGGGTGAGTACCTTTGTTGCAGTTTCAAGATCTGTGGCTTATGTATAATGGTCCCATTGTAGTATGGTAGAATAATACCCCATTTATTACATGTCTTTTGTATTGAATTATATAATTGTCTACATCTCATTGAATTACTCCTTGCAGTTACTAATGGAACAAAGTTTCAAAGCGTAAAAGGCATACTAAACTGGATCATCAATTCAATACTAGGGGCATATGGTTGAAGGCATGTTATTATCTAAATATGAAGGGTGGCCTTGGTATACCAATCCTGCATGAAGCAAACTGATACTTCAAAGAGATGATTAGTTCTAAAAGGTTGAGGAATCGGTGATATGAACTTTTATGTGCGTATGGGCAAATGTACAATACTATAAATGCATCCCTTGATGCTTGCAAACCATCAATGGGGATTTTGCCTAAAGAAGCTAATAATGAAATGAGAAGGGCAGGCCTGGTGCAGTGGTGAGAGCTGTCTCTTTGAGTCACTGTGTATGGGAACCTCAGGCTAACAAGTTTTTTTTTAAGAGCGACCCCACTCATGCCTCGTGGAAGGTGTTTTAAGCTAATAATGAAATGAGATCAAGAAACATCTTGGTAGACACAAATATGAACCCAGGCTACCAAGTTTAAGAGCGAATCATGCCTCGTAATGTTTTGTTCCCGTTGCAACGCACGGTCATTTACCTAGTCAAGGAAATAAGATACAAAATAGAGGATGAGAAAGAAAACAAACCCAGTTGTAGCTCAGTAGGTACTGTAGCCCATAATGGATTGTGGCAAACACTGCAATCACATCATTTAGCTCCCTTTGTTCTGATGTGCTGCTACATTCCATAAGACTGAGGATAATGCCGACAAGAGGTGCCAAGATCATAGTACGATTTGTTTTCTCTTGATGCTGCCCTGGCCGTCTTAGTGTCCTGCATCCACAAGCTTCCTACTGGTTAAAAAACAGGCCCACCAACTTTCTTGTTGCATAAGCAAGAGAATTCCTATATGTACCATAAAACATAAAAATAGACCTACCAAGATGGAAGCATAATTAATTGACTCAGAATCAGCTTCAATAATAAGCTCAAAGGAAATGCGGTAGCAATTTATTAAGGTAATGAACACAATGTAGCTTTCAAAGATTGTACACCAACCAGACTTTCATTAAGAACATTCTACCTCTGAAAAAAAACAGAAACTCAGATTAAGATGTTTACTTGCATGTCAAAGAACTCTGCATCAGCTGCTGATATGATGTGGTTGAGAATAAAGACAACCAATTCAGTCAACCTCCGCAAATTCATATCTGGTCCCATGAGAAATGCACAAGGAATCTCTCGGGTACAGAATTCCAAGATTCTCGCAAGACAGCAAATCAGCAACCTGAAAATAAAATATGCTTGATCATATTTTTCATAGTTGCAGGGTCACGCCAGGGGAACAAAGGAACACATTGGTACTCTCATGATAAATCATATTGGAATAACTGGAGCAACCAAATCCCACAACTTTTATATTAACTATATTTTATTACTATACAGCTGCATCATAGAGAAGATTATGACTCCTGCAGGGTACAACCAACCAGCACACAGGTATTAAAAAAAAGATAGTCCACCTGGTTTTTATCTTGCATCTCCCGGATGGAGATAGAGAACTCGGTCATTGTCCAGCTGAGTGTATTGAAAAGTCGATTGAGGAAGGAAAAGAACAGCTCTTGTTCATGAATACATGTCTCCCTCAATAGAACCTTCGGAGGAAACCAGATGATTAAATTATTAGTTTGCATAACAATCAAATTGAACAAAATAGGAGCGAATTAAATCAAAAGTAACAACATTTAAAAATACCTGAAAAAGATGATGAGGATTCACCATTCTTAGAGGAAGCAAAGCCTGAGCCTTTGCAGAACCGGGAAAGTATGTTCGTAACAGGAATCCATGATCTGTTGTTAAAAGCTGATAAAAGTGATCTAGGCATCTTATTTATAGCCTCCCGATTGTTCTTGAAAACAAGCATGAATTCTTTGTATTGTACAAGGACTCATATGGATTGAAGAAGAAGATATTTCAAGTCAGGATTCACTATCCTCGTATCATCGAAGTGCTTGACAACCAGAGTGACCTATTATTAATAAAACAGAACCCTTAGATAACTTTGAAGCACTGAAGAGTATGCTGAAAACTATCAAGAAATTAATCATGATTTGGTTCAACCAAACTATATAATTTAAAGTTTAAAATAGGCTGTTTATCTCTATAAGCTAAAAGACCTGGGCTGTAGCTACTATTGACTGCAAAACTTCAATAATTAACGCATCAGTGTCAACAATAAAGGTGCAATTAGGTTTCAAAGAAAAAATAATGAACTAAGAAGCATCAAGATGATTCAGTACATACAAACGAGGCCAGCCCTTGCATGAGAAATAATGCAGGGGAAACAAAAGGAGGATCGCTCCTTCGCAGTGCATGGAAACAATCCACCTGCAAAGGTAATAAGAAGAAAACTCTCTTGGGTAAATAGATTCATTGTGAATGAAGAAAAAACAATGCCAAAGGAAACAATAAACCTACCAGTGATTCCACATAGAACTCAGGAACATAGTGGAAAATGTTATTTGAGTTACTAAGGACCAAAAGAAGCTCCATGACCCACATGCAAGTTGCGTACATTCCCCTTTGCTTCCACTGGGAGAAAAGGGCGGCCCGGTACCTGAATGCACCATAAGAAAAAAAACAGCAGATTAACTCGGTGGCCTAAAAAACTATCATAGCAGAAGTTCTCCTGGCACTACGTGCAAATCCATACAATAGCAACTCAAAAGATGAAAAGAACATAAATCAATGAACATCTCCATAAGTCATTTAGCTGCAAGGAATCTCTAAACTTGAAGGGAATGCTTTCCATCTGTCTCTAGAGTACCACTAACCAGTTGAATCTATTGTGAATAAGTAAATATGAACATCCCAGATCAAAACTAAATCTGAAAATCATGTCTGCAGCACAGTTCTAAACATTGCTAGCATATGCGAAAAAAATTATCATTTGCCCATGGTAGTAAGGAAGTACAGAAGATTTATCATTTCAGAAAACCATACCAAACACAATGGCGTACACAATCCACCAAATCCTCATGATAGCTATTCCAGGCTTCTTTCAAAAGCCTTACTTGCTCTGAGCATGATTTTTCTCGTATCTGCCTGTCAGTTTCTTCTAGTAAAGAAATGGACTGTGACTGCTGAGACATGAAATAAAACGCCTGTACAGAACTAACTTAAATCAGTACCATCATTTGAATTAAAATCAACATATACTAATATCCTAGTCATGGAATTAAGTATGCCTTGAGCTTTAGCCTTTATTCAGTTTCCATTTCTCTTGTCACACAAACATGAATCAGCTACACGGACTGGTATTTTTTAGACCAAAGTCCCACTTTATAGAAAGCAAAGCTTTGAGTTTGCTGGGATAACCAGCTTACAAGAGCAGCATTACAGTTCTCAAGGCACTTCCCCTCTAAACGGAAACAGAAATAGAACGAGGAACCAAAAGAAATACCGACCAAAAGAGTAACCTTTTTTAGAAAAAGATTACTCAGCTTTCACTGATCTCTTGATTGTGCCAAGGGTCGTGATAATCTCTCCGTTGTCATCATCTCCTAACTTTTTTCTTTCTCCTTGAGCAGGATGCTCCATTTCTGCATAAAAATTATAAAGCAATGTGCCACAACATTTTTTTTAGAGAAAAGGTTTTCCCCGCTTTATTACCATAAAGCGTTTAGCGAAACGTTTACAGCACAGAGCGTATTGGCGCGCCCACCAAGTTTAAAACGATAAACTGGCCTAAAAGCCTAACTGGCTTCCTGCAGAAACAAGACGATTATTACAGTTTGGCATCATCGCTGAATCAAGCTGAATTGCAGCGGTTAAGTCTGACTCCAAAGATTGAGAACCCAACGTCTCCGGCGTTGCTAGCATCTCCCCTCTCCAGCAGATTCTTGGCGGCTGTTGAGCTTTGTCTTCCAGCTTCTGGATTAAGAGATCCACTGAAGAACCCAAATCCTGCTCGAACAGAGGCCTCCATTTCCTCAGAAACCTGGCAACCCAAAGCATCATCACCTTCTCCCCTGTCCATTTGAGACAACATAGCCTTTCAGTCCCAAGCAAGTTGAGGTAGGCTAAAGTTGAAACCTACCAAGAGCCCCAAGTCATGGTTCAGGCACTTCAACAGCTGCTTTCCAAATACTCCTATTCAAACATAGATCTCTAGGTATATCCCAAGCTTTCAAATATCTTTTTATTGCCTCCCCCATGTCAATTTCGGTCTTCCTCTACCTCTCATATTATTAGCTTGGCTTAGGACTCCACAATGCACTGGTGCCTCTGGAGGTCTCCTTTGGACATGGCCAAACCACTTCAACCGATGTTGGACAAGCTTTTCTTCAATTCCCCTGTCCATTTGAGACCCTGAAAACAAATTTTGTTACGAAAATTCCAAAGGCTCCATAGAGCAGCAGATGTAATAATGTTAGTGCATAAATGCTTTTTATTAGCAATCCAAAGGGTCGCCACAAACTCAAAGTTCCAGTCACCTCTCAGATCAAGTATTTCAGCTATCCAAAGCCATAATCTTTTAGCCACACAACAGTTAAAAAATAGATGATTCACAGATTCTATGTTAGTCGCTGAATTCTTACTCTTGGTAGTAGCAGAATTCTTACTCTCATCGAGAGAGGATGACACTAGGAGTTGGGCAATTTTCTGGTTTATTTCTCACACAAATGTCATGCCAACCTGAGGGGTTGGGGATACATATTTATAGGCTGCTAGCCAGCCAAGCATATGCCAAGATGCTAGTCTAAGATGCTAAGATGCTGTCCTAGATGCTAAGATGTTGTCCTTATGGCAGCAACAGCCAGCAGCCCCACAAAGACCAGACCAGCCAGACTTATCCATCATTCTCCCCCTAAGTCTTGTGCGTCGTCTTGTGGGAAAGTTGAACCATCCCGGTCCTCGAGCAGAGCTCAAGGAACTTGATCCTCCCAAGGGGCTTGGTGAGCAGGTCCGCAAGTTGGTCCTTCCCAAGGGGCTTGGTGAGCAGGTCCGCAAGTTGGTCCTTGGTGTTGATGTAGCTCGCCTTGATGCTCCCTTCCTCCAAACAGCCTCGGATGAAGTGATACCTCACCCGGATGTGCTTGCTGCGTTCATGGAAAACGGGGTTCTTTGCCAGGGCCAGAGCGGACTTGCTGTCCACCCTGAGCTCCGCCGCTCTAGTGTCTCTGCCGAGGAGATCACCAAGCAGTCGAGCGAGCCAGAGCGCCTGAGTCGAAGCGGTGGAGGCCGCTATGTACTCGGCCCTCGCACCGACGAGGCCACCACTGCCTTCTTGGCTCGATGCTTGCACGTGCCATGAACGAGCCAGCTCCTCCTCACCAGGCGACGTGGGATGGCCGCGTCGTTGTTGTCGACGATCTTTGGCCCAATGGTTAAGCGCGATTGCAGATTGTGCAGTGTGTCGTCTCGCGGCTTGTGCTCGCGCCGGGCGCCGCCTGGCGCCTGCTGGCATCACCCTCGGCACGTCCCGCGCCCGCTTGGGCGTCTCTGGCGCTTTGCGCGGCTTGTCACGCTTATGCGGCCACGTCGCGGAAGAAGGCTCTCCCCTTCTTCCGGTCACCTTGGTCGGCAAGCCACCGCCTCCCAGTGAGAAGGAGCTTCCGCCCGGTGGTGATGGGCCCCGAGAGAGATTGTGGCTCATCATTGCCGACGACCTTGAGGCGACCTATCGCTTCCTCGATCGACATCGTGGAGAGATCCAGCAGAGACTCGATCGAGCGAGCCATCTGCTTGTACTTCTCGGGGACGCAGCGGAAGAGCTTTTCGACAGCTCTCTCCTCGCCGAAGGTGTCATCGCCGAACTGTACCATCTTCTGCAACAGAGTGTTGAGACGGAGAGCAAAGTCATCAACGTCCTCACCTGGCTTGAAGGCCGGGTTCTCCCACTCCTTGCGGCGTGCTGCGGTGTGGACTTGCGGGCGCGGTCGGCTGCCGATGCACGCTGCAATGGCGATGGCGTCCCAAGCCTCCTTGGCGGTCTGCTTGTTGGTAAGCGAGAACTGCATCTCGGGCGGGACTGCAGCGATGAGGGCATCCAGCGCCCGTCGATCTAGGTCGTAGTCGACGTCACCGTACCGGACTGCCTCCCACATGTGCCGCACCTGGAGCTTTGCCCTCATCACCGCAGCCCACTCGACGTAGTTGGTCTTAGTGAGGGTAGGCCACCCACCGCCGGGGCCGATGTCCCTGACGACAGCCTAGAGCCCGTGGTAACCACGGTACCGATCCGGGGAGAGAGAGCCACGCTGCCTGTGAAGGCCGCGCTCTCCATCGACCCGTCCGCCACCGTCGCGGTGCGCGCCTCCTCCAGGAGCGCCGCCGCCGTGCAAGCCTCCTCCAGGAGCGCCGCTGCCGCGTCCGCGCCTGTCTGGGCTGCCGCCGCGCTCTTGGACATGCGCGGCTACCCACTGCGCCGCCTGCGCTCGTCCTGCCTCCCTCCCTAGCAGCTCGAGGTCCGCGTCGGCGCTGTCGTCAGCAGAAACGGAGCTGCTGATGCTGCCGCGCAGAACCTCGACCTCCACTGCCGCCGCACACGCTGCATCCGCCGCTTCCGCCTCCGCTCTGGCTGTTGCCAGCTCCACCGCTGCCAGCCTCGACGCCCTTGCCGCCATTCAAAAAATACAAATTGATTAGAGCCACCATTCAAAAAACGAAAAGTGATTAGACATTGAAATATTCAAAATACAAATTGACAGTTTAACCAAAGGAGACACTGGTCAAGGAACAAAATATCTGCTTATATCATTCTTTTGTTTTCATATTTTTTTCTAGAACCAGCAGGTCGAGGTTTTTCTTTTCTAGAACCAGCAGGAGAGTTTCCATGATTGCTGAATACAAGATTTGAACGATCAGGTGTAATGTAGGTAATAATTCAAATATAATTAATTTGTTTTAAAAAGGGAACCCTTACTGAAACTAAAATGCTATGTTTCGAACAGTACGAAGGTTTTTGAACAATTAGAACCATTAGATGCGTGGCAGATACCAAGGGCCAACATGCATGCACCATATCAACCCATTTATGGTAGGGTAAAAAGAGAGGATGTAGCACAACAATATGACTCAAATCACGACCAACTTAGGTCTTCAAAAGACACCACACAACATCTTCAGTGTTGCAGATGATTCAAATTACCAGGTGCACCGCAACCCCGCCTCGCTTTTTCTCTGAATTGAAAGGAAATACATGAAGAATAGATGACTTCGATCCTGTTTCATTGAATTTCATACCCAGCTGTAGAAATGTGCCGACCATGATTAGCGATAGCAAGAGATTAACATATAGAAGGATCTAGGCTGAGACTACTATAAAGGGACTTTTTGCACCTTTAGCCCCCAAGACAGTATAGCCTTTTCTGTAGGTGATCCAGTCACCTCCGGTTCTTGACCACCCTGCTGAGACATAGAACATAAGTCACAACTCATGCCCCCAAGAAAGCACATGCCTGTTCATGCTCTCCTGATAATTCTCAAGCCAGAAGCAATAAATTGAACTTGGAGAACTGGACATAAAATTTCCTCTTGAAAGATCACTACACAGGCATGCATGTGCAATAAATCAAACAAAAATTGGCAGGATGCACCTTTTATCTAACCACTCATGGTGATGGCGCATAGGGATCACTACTAAGCTATATCTTTAATAAAACCTGAAATTTCATATGCAACCGCATATGCTTTTCTTTCTCCATGAATGGAGATGACTACTAACCTCGGGCTCAAATATGCTTCCAGAAGTGTTCTGTGCAATTCCTTCAACAATCAGCGACGTGACATCAGCAGATAACATCTGAGCACTATCAGGTGAGTCCATCTTCTTTCCACCAAAATATGCCTCGACAACAGTCATCTTAAAATCAAACAAGGAAGAAGAGAATTTAAAAATCAGGGCCAAGCAGATTTAACAAACAGAATTGTCTGAAACCTGTATGTCAGTATGTATAAAGTGAATAGACAACATTGCACCTGATTTAAAGTCAAGGTGCCAGTCTTGTCACTGCAGATTGTTGTGGCAGAACCCTAGTTATTTGGACCGGACCGGACCGGCGGTCGGACCGGTAAAAGACCGAACCAGAGACTACACCGGCTCGATTCACTTAAAAGACCGTTCATGCAATCAGACCGCTAAAAACCGGTTGAACCGGCCGGTTTTTTAAGGAACCGGCGAACCGGGCGGTTCCATGCGGACCGGACGGTTTCTTGCTGGTCATCTGCGAGCAGCACCGCAGCATGCTGCTGATTGGTTCGTGGGTGGCGCGTGTGCCTGCAGCTGCTGTTGGTAGGCCCCGCCTGTCCCCTGCCTAGCTATTACCACCGGTGGTGGTTCACGCTTGCACAGTTGGCATGCATGCTGAGCTACGTTTGAATTTTGGCTGCGCTGACGTCAGTGCCTTTTAAAATTCAAAATTTATATCTTTGTCGTACCAACTCCAAATTAGTCAAATAATATCCGTTTTGATTATCTCAACGAGCTCTTCGCAATAGCGCACTTTATTTTAATATTTAAGATTGTTTTGCAATGGTGAATATTTGAATTACTATTCAAGTCCTTTTTGCACTAATTGGTAAGTGCTCCATGTATTATGTTTCCATTTGTTTATATATATATATATATATATATATATATATATATATATATATATATATATATATATATATATATATATATATATATATTATAAAACAACTCTGGAGCACTAAAACTTGTGGAGCTTGTATGTTTTGAATTTAAGAACATGTTATTCTCTGCATATGTATGAACCTTATGGTTGTACAATTAAATTGTGTTGTTTACAATTTATCAATTATTAATTATAGCATATACATATATGCCGGTTCAATGTATTTGTGACCGGTTCGATTTAACCGGTCCAAAACAATTGAACCAGCGGTTCAACCGGTTCTAAACGGTTGGACCAGTGAACCAGTGAACCGACGGCCTCGCCGGTTCGCTCTCCAGTCCGGTCCTAATAACTTTGGGCAGAACCCATCGTTTCACATGCAGAAAGCCTCCTCACCTATATTCCATAGGAAGTGAGTGCGCATAGCATTCGATGCTGGATCAAGTAGCATAACAAAACCAAGGTATAGAAAGTTGGGAACATACCAGAGCCTTGTCCTTCATCATTTTGCGCATTGAGAAAGCAAGCCTGACAAAAATAAAGCATGTTGAGTGGCAGGTGACGAAAGCGCTAGCAGAAAGTAACATGCCACCATGCTTACGTCAGCGTGACAGCTAATGGTAGTCCTTCTGGAACAGCCACGACCACAATGGTGACCTATTTACACCTCAAGATGGTGAGACAAAAACTGTAAACACTAAAGCAGTATGCATAAACAGAGAACAGAATACCTACAGCCACTGTGAATATTCTAACTACTCCACGTATCGTCTGGCCTACACCCATCTTCCCTTTCACATATTGCACAGATCCATCAGGATTATAAGTATGCCCAGTGAAGTACCTACAAGAAAACAAGGTGATACAGATTGATGTAGATAAACAAGGTAGACAGTTAGCACACTAAAATATAAAGGCAATTTTACCTGGCCAACAGTACAACCAGAACTGCAAGGGCAACAGAAAGTCCAACCATTCCAATGAAAGTAGAGACACCATTCAAACGAACCTGCACCAGAACAACAAAGGCACGTAAAGTCAATAAACTTGCACAAAAGCTGGCAGCAACAACAAAATCAAACCTGAAGTGGTGTCTCTTCACCCGAATCTTCAGATATGCTTGCCATTAGCAATCCCCATTCAGTGTTGATTCCAACAGCAGTTACCTGGACATTACAACAGTAGGGTTCAGTTGATAAATGCTCTACACTGTTCCAATCACTACTAGTGATTAAAGAGGTAGTAGGCATTATATCATATGAAAGTAAGTTTGATACTGGAAAGTAACAACACTAAAGCTTTAGCACAAACTTGGGCAACAAGAAGTAGTCTACTATTTTCATGTACCTTTATCCACTATTTTCTTCTACACATCTATGAAATCGAATAATCCATAAGATTATTAAAGTATTTTCAAGACAGATCTAAACATACAATTTTCATGTCATAATCTAAATCTTAAAACTGGAAGTTGAAATTTCAGACGTTTGACTGGATTCCTGTCCAGAAAGTAATTGTGGCTGGGGAGTATGTGGATACAGAAACTTACCAGCATTGTGCCATAGCCATCGGCAACTTTGCAACCTGACATTAGAAATGGTGACTTCTGATCTTTATGTACCTTCAAATAACCCCCATGTGGCCAAGTTAGGGTCAGATGTAACGCATATTACTTCCAAGGCTGCATATTGGAGTAACTTACAATTTTACTTTCTCCCGTCATGCTTGATTCATCTATGGAAAGGGAGTGGCCACTGACAAGTATACCATCTGTGGGGACCTGGCAGTAGACACATGACTCGAAAATGAGGCTCATCCTCAGTGGCCTTCTCTACCTGGTCACCAATTTTGAGTGGGACAACATCTCCAACAACCAAATCATATATTGATACCGTGATTCGCCTTCCACCTCTAACAACCTGAATGATTCGTAACGTTATTTGGGATCAACAAAGAAACCGATAGCAATAGATGCGCCTCTAATCCTCACCTCCAAACGAATGTTCTGTTTTTCTTCATTCAGATTTTGGAATTGCAGTGATTGCTTGTAGTCGCTGATAGCTGAAAATTAACATGGAAAAACAATAGCCACTAGATTTTGAACAACTGTACACAAACTGTAAAAGGTAGTATTGGCACTAAGGAGTAAGAGAGGTTTTATTTGAAGTTTCAGGCATACATACTGGACTTTAACTTTATTGCTTTAGAGTTTAGACCAATACTAATTTTGCATCATTATATGTAACTTTTCACAAATTTGTCATTGGTTTTATCATCTATTACTTGATGACTTGATGTGAATAGAAACACACTGCTTGTTACTCCATGTTTAGTATACAAGGCATAACCACCCTTGTTTCAAAGACCAAGGAACATTTAATTCTCTCTCAACACTTGTACTGCCGCATGGTTATACGTGCGTCTAGAGAGAGCATGCCTTGTATTATAGGACTCGAATAAAAAGTGATTACGCCTTATATATTAGGAGTTTAGGAAGGAGGGAGTATATGACAAAGAACACAGAAAATCAGAGAAAAGTCATAGTGGCACACCTGTAACAAATACAACTAGAAGAACAGCAAAGGCAATGATCGCTCCATCATACCAGCCTTCTTTTATGCCCTAATGTCAACATATTCCAATGTAAAAATAAAGGAGCAAAGATGAGCAACGTAACCAATGGTAAGCACATGGACAGATATGAGGGAATATGATGAAATCTGCACAAAAAAATGCATGCACCAGAAACTAGATGAAGCTGGATAGATTTGAAATAGGATACAGAAACAGCAAAAAGAGGGAAAAAGAACAAAACAACTCATTCAGCTAGACAAAACACAGTTGGCAATTTTGTACAATTAAGGGAGTCAAAGAACTACAGATGTGATGCCCACCTCTGTTGTTATGCCCAAGGCCAGTGAAACAGCAGCAGCAACCATGAGGATGATTAGCGTCAAGTCCTTACAAGCGTCCCACATGAAAACCTCTTTGAAACGAAAAGCGGCCTGCATAAGAAAATATAGACATAAGCTAATACCAAAAGGTAAACTTAAGGAATGATGAGACATTGTTTCTAGTAAGATACCCTTATAACTTAAGGAATGATGAGACATTGTTTCTAGTAAGATACCCTTATAACATGTGCCTGTGCACGGATTTTTGTCCTGATTTCCTCCTTTTGTTCCTCCTTTTTCAAATCGAGAGTGTACCTAAAGCGCCTTGATGCATTCAGCACAAGGGCTGCTTGCTGCAATAACAAAAGGTATTAGAAACCAAACATATCAGAAGAAAGATATCGAGCTAATCACTCTAGCAGGGAAAAAAACGTGTAGATATTTTAGGAAAGAAAAACTCAAGTAGATAACACTACAGTACCCCCACCATCTTAGACAACTGTTTAGACATGTCTGAAGGTGTAACAATCCAGATAATGTCGTCTTTACAGTTTGATACACATCACGATATCTCATAGACTACTGTAGCAAGGCATATAGAAAGTTTGTATTACTATTACAGTTCTGCAGCTTGGAAAGGTACAACTAGCAGAGCCAAGCTAACAATAAGAGAGCATCCTGTATAGTGAACTATTAATGCATGAAGATTTTTAAAGTATGAGCAGTGAAATATATAACAAGAGACAAAGAAAGGACTTAAGTACTTAGTGGGGTATTTTGACACTTGGGGACTTCATATACAGAAATGTGATACAAAGTACACTACACAATGCCAACATTCATGGTTTAGTGATGAAGTGAAGTGATGATCCCAAAAACTCTAGTACCATCTGATCCATAATCATAAGTTCATAATCCACTTCCAGACAAAAGGCCATGCTGCCTTCTATGCTGGGCATACTGTTAGATACTCTAAAGCTCTGTTCCAAAAGGCAGCGCCTCGGAGCTAGGCAGAGCAGCACTGCCCTGCATAGCACCTGTTGCGGTTAAGGACTTTGATCCAAGTACGAAAAGTAGTTTTAATTTGAGATGGGAAAGACAAATTACGATCATGGGACTCATAGTTGCAATCTGATGACATTTTTTTGTTTTAATATACAAAAAACTCCTGTACTTAACAAGGCATTACTTCAACCACCTCCACCTGCAAAAGTTACAACTAGCTGTGACCTGCCTAGCGCTTTTTGAAAAATTGCTCAAAAGTTGTAGGGAAGTTATTACTGTTGTCAATTCCTGCAGGCTGTTTGTAATGCCCAACCATGACAGGAATATGTCCATATGAACATCAATATATTTGGCTTTCAAATAAAAGGTAAATTGACTATTGACTCTAGTTGCCAGCTGTTATGTGGCCAGTTGGGATGGAGATGAGAGGGCGTGCTACAGTACCGTGGAGCTACAGTGTCCGCGGGTACTGTTCACGACGGCGGCGGCTAGGGCTGCAAGGGCGCTGGGGGAGGCCGGCCGCGGAGCTTCGCCCACGGCCGGCAAGAGAGAAGGGATTTCCTTCTAATCTCTTGCTTGATTAGATTGATACATCTCCTCTCATTATATAGAGAGGTCTGACTTGGCCCCTAAGCAAGCGACTAATTAACTCTCATGGGCTAAGGCCCAATAGGCCCTTGACTCCTCTAACACCAGCAGTTTTTTGCATAAAGTGATCAGCTAGCTCTGCCAATATTTCAAACATGTTCAGCAATTTCTTACAGTTATTTAGTAAAAAAACATGAACAAGATGCAATTTGGTTCCAGGTATTATGGGAATGCCGTATCAGAATATCCTCAACAAATTGCAGACAACAACAACAACAGAACACATCTTTTGGTTTCTGCAGCATTTGAGAGTTACAGAATAACTGAACATTGTAAATACAATGAGTTGTGGTCAAATGTCTTTCTCCTTTTGCTAGGCATTGTGAACCATTCAATCAGGCATGTTGCAACAATTATTTTGGGATAGCCTAGAATCCTAATCAGGTTTGGCATTTGGAGGATCAGGGGCCCAAACGTAGTAAATCCACTTGCCCGCTGGCAAACCGGAACAACTAGTACATCTCTCGCATCCTAAGCAGTTGGGGCCCTTCAGTTTAGTCAGAGAACTCAAAACAAATACTCCAATGAAGCAATAAAACAATGAACCCAAACCAATTCAGATACACGCTGCTTCAAACCCAACCACGATGAACCCAAACCAATTCAGATACACCGCGCTCCGCAGAAGTTCCTTGCAAAAAAACAAAAACTAACGCCAAAGCTCGCCAGCGCGAGTGGGCTGTTCTTCCCCCCAAAACAATCGAGAGCTCCGTCACAAACACACGCATCCAAAGCAGGGGAGAAAAAACTACACACTGCTCCAAAACCAACCACAATGAGCCCAAACCAGTACAAACACACACCACACTGTGCACAGCTCGAACATAACGCCACCGGAAGGCGCTCGCGACAACAAATGACGACGAGCATGGAGGAGCGCGCTTACCCTCCACTTCCTGAGCCGCTCGATGGCGGGGATGTCGAACGGGTCGGCGTCGCCGCTGAAGCTGCCCCTGCCGCTGCTGCCGCCGCCGCTACTCCGCCGCGGCGCCAGCCCGCCGCCCGACGACGAGGACTCCATCCCGGCCCGCGCGCGCTCGCTGGCGAGAGAGGCGCCGACCAAAACCCTTGCGGAGTTTTGGAAAGGAGCCCTGAACCGAGAGTTGCCGTTCGCAGTGTATATTTGACAGTTTAAACCTTCCAGGTACTTCGTATTTTTTTTGTCGAGCCCAGCTACGTGTCCAGCATTTTCGGCTAAGGATGTTCACGTGCCACCGGGAGGTGGGCCCAATGGAGAGCTGGAGATTAGCATTTGGCTGAACGGATCAACGTCGAATGGGGCTCAGGCACTATCGGTGAGCAGAAAAAACTCAGACAAATTTGTTCGCGTGTTTTTTTTATCAGAATTTGTTCGCGTGTTGCAAACCTGATCCATCTAGTCCATGAAAGCATTTTATGATTGTTTACGCGAGCTGCGGACCAATATGTCGACGTGTGTTTAGATGTTGTGAGAAAAAACCAGCTGCATTTGCCTGCCTAACTACCAATTGTGACTCGAGATATTTATTACTTTTGATATGCCGCCGGAAAATCCTTCCAACAGCAAAAACATTGTTTTGCAGCTAAATGGAGCTCGCCATCGAAATGCAAAAGCGAAGGTTCGATTTCTTTCGTGACCAAGGTGACGTAGGTTGATGTTTGGTACAGAAACGATGAAGCGAACAGGTGCTAGTCTCCTAGAAAGCATTTCGTACGATGAGGGGAGCTTGCAGAGCTGCGGACCAATATGTCGACGTGTGTTTAGATATTTCGAGAACACCAGCTGCATTTTGCCTAACAATTGCGCCTCCGAGATATTTGTTACTTTTGATATGCCGCCTTTAATCGTTCTCACACGGGAAGTGTTGCCATTTGCAGCTAAATGGTGCTCGCCATCGACATGCAAAAGCATACGGTTCGATTTCTTTCTTTCGTCCACGAAAGAATATAATATAGCTATAACATTTGTGTAAGTTAAATTAGTTTAATTTTGACCAAATTTATAGTGAATAATACTAACATTTATATCTCTAACTAGGTTCACTATAAAAATATATTTCATAATTAATTTAATAGTACTTATTTTGTATAATAAATATTAGTGATTTTTATATAACTTTAATCAAATTTTAAATTATTTAACTACACGGAAAATGAGAATAGTATCCTGGATAGAGAGAGTACGCACGACGAGTTGTTGATCCATGTGCCTATGCAATGATCTGCTTGCGTTTTGCTGGAAAATGACAAAGAAACATTAGAATCCAAAAAAAAAAATGTAGAATTGAAGATATGTTCTAGCAAATTGTCCTACAAAAATCTGTATCCTAGCAATCTCAGAACTTTCTCTATATTATCAGACATGAATCTTACATATGCTAGAGCATACAACAAGACGCCAGAAACAAAGAAAATGCATTATCTATATGTTTTTTCTACTGTCGTGAAGGTCTGAACCTCTAATTTCTGGGTTCAGTCATAAATAAATGAATGAATTCATTTATCGGTAGGTTGACTGTCAATAAGATCTGCTGGACTGTAAAGTATTGACATTTTCAATAAGATCTGCTGGACTGTAAAAGTATTATTTTTGGCCGAAACACATTTTTCTCTCAAAGCATTCCTTATCCAGATTTTAAAGTTCGCGTTTAGTGCACTACCAGTAGTACACCACATCTACTGTACTGAACTGTACTCCTATGTATTATTTGGCACATTTTCATTAGTAGTACAGGAGCACCACAAGGCAATGACGAGCGAGACACACTTAAATCAAGCAAGATTCACTAAATAAATGCATAATCTTATCCCAATAATTAATTTACCTTAGAACCTTACAACTTCAAAACTTTGATCTAATTTTCTTCATAAATGGCTCAAGCATCATAAAAGAGAGAGAAAAACAAAACTCTAATTAGGCCATGTTTGACTAGTTTTTTTTGGTCGTGGCTTTTGCCTGCAAAAAAAAAAAACTCAACCAAATAACCCAAAAGCCATATGTGCTTTTACCAAAAAAGCAGCTTTTAATGTAGTATAAATCTAAAAGCACCTTCACCCCTCCTTTCACTGGCTTTTGAGGTAAAACATTTACCCACCTGCCACTGGTTACATAAATAACGGTTGGTTCTTTTCCTCTTCTATTGCTTTGCGACTGTTCTGGTGCAAGGAAACGCCATGGCCTCGGTCTCCGACGGTGGTCTTCCTCGGCCAGCCGCCGCGCGCTAGGCTAGCGAGCTCCAGGTCGTCGCGCTGAGTCCACCGCGGATCTCCATCTCTGGCCGTCGCGGAGCTCCATCTCCGGCCGCCCCTTTCCACTGAAGCCGAGCGACTCTCTTCGTTAGATCCGAAGCGGGCGCCCTCTCGGTAATCCTGCGCCCACCCTCTTCTCCTTGGCCATCCAATCGAGCGGATGCGGGGCGCCGTGGTCATGTACGTGAACTACTTTGCGGCGTACGTCATGATGCTCCGCCACCACGCATCGCGGCTGCGCCGAGGCGGGTCAAGGGCAGCAAAGGTCTCTCCACCGTGCAAGCTCCTCCACTTCCAGCCGTCGCTCCCCCATCCCCTTCTAGCCGCTGCCTTCCTCCTCGAGCTCCATCCTGACGCGAGCCCATCCTAGCAGCAGCGGCGCCGACGTGAGCTCCATTCAGCGGCGGTGCAAGCTCCATCTCGCCGCGGCGCGGGCCCAGCCGCATCCCGACCCGAACTCCATCCCAGCAGCGGCGGCGGGAGCTCCATCCCTAGTCGGCATCCACCGGTGATGAGAGGAGGAAGAAGATGCGGGCTTGATGTGTCCATGACATGTGGGGCCCGCTCGTAAGGGAGAGAAGCTTTTCCAAAAGCCACAACAACTCAACCAAACGGGCTTTTAACTATCCCGCAGCAGCTTTTCCACAACAGCTTTTGTAAAAGTCACAGCTCACAACAGCTTTTGTAAAAGCCATAGCTCAACTCAAACATGGCCTTAATCACTAACCAACCATTAAAACTTCAAAAAAAATATTTAGAATAATATTTTCTTACCTTCTACAACTCCACAAAAAGATTTGAGACCAAAACCTTCCCTTAGTAGAGCAATTTTTAGGAGGTGTTCAAGGCCTCCCAACCCTTTTTTCTCGAGACAAGTGAGTGACCCGAGAAAAAAGAAGGAAGGTTGTTTTTTTATAGCACATGTAGGGGGCTGGTGATTGAGTCGCCTTACAAATCAAACAGTAGGGGTGGCTGGTCAAGTGGGACCCTAGCACGCCCACTGTGGGGGTGGCTAGTGATGGAGCCGCCCCTAAAAAAATATGTCGTTACTACAAATCGTTTGTGAAGTAGTGATATTTTTAGTTTTTCAGTTAAAAAGATGGTGTGGGAGAAAAAAAATGAAACAATCAATAATAAACATCAATTCAATCAATAACAATCAATGACAACAATGGTGGATGCAAGTTGACGTGTTTATGACGAGTGTTGAGGTACCATTTCAACCGATCTTTGTTGTAAGTTTGTTTCAATTTGTTTTAGTTGCTTCAGTTGTATTGTTGTTCGGAGTCATTGTTGTTATGTTGAAATACCCGGTTTGAGTTTTTTTTAATATAATCGATAGTTTTCCTGCTGTCTGATTTGTTTAAAAAGAACACCAGTTCATTTTTTGCACTTCCGCTAGTACTTTGGCAATTTCATCTGCCCAGTATGCAAGTCTTGTGCTGGAAGATGCTGCCACAACATCTATATCTCTTGATAAGATCTGCCCTTGAGGCCCGCCCCCGCCTAACCATGCCTATCAACATGGAGCTCACAAAGCGGCACTAATGGTATGGACATAAAGAAGCGTCAGTACAAAATATTTGCGTGCCGCGGATAGAAAATCAATGGGCAGATATGGGTTTAAGACACATCAGACAGGTGTGATTCTAATCGGGTCAAATCGTGGGCATGGAAAAATGATACACACCCGTAAACCCGCTAGACCCGCCAATGACCCTATAAGTCCATCATGTCTTTATTCGTGTTAATTTGTGATGACTTGAGATACACTAATGTAGACTTTGATGACTCTTGTATGGAATTTTATCTAAAATATACTATTTTTGATATATTGTTTCTTATTAATAAAATGTTGCTACATTTTTATATTAAATTGCATGCATTTTCTTTGTTTTTTTTCGATTACAAAATAGACGGATTTTTGCTCACGGGTATGGATATTTTATCCGTGGAAATATTTAATGATCATAAATCGGGTCTTATTGAAAATACTACTACTGAGGCTTTTTAAATATATACTATTCATATATTTGATTAATAAATTATTACTTATATTAAATTGCATGTTTTTCTTTGTTTATTTTTCGTCCAAATATTTAATGATTATAAACTTATTAATTACTTTTTTTGCAAGGGACTGGCTTATATATTTTTCATGCATATTAATATTTTTATTTTGCATGGCACCTTATATATTTTAATATGCCACTAGGTTGAAAACTTGCCATTTACTATGGTGACCCATGTTGCATCACATATCTTAAGTCATGAATCTAATTTTATTTTTTATATTTATTTTTATTAACTGCTACAAATTTTTTCTCAAGTTAAAACTCTTGTGATTAATGTATCTTTTACTGATTCTCATTTTAGACTGTTTTAAAATAAGGATTTTAGGTCGTACAGTACATTCCTAAATACTATAATAGCATATGCAATCATTTGAAACTTGCACCATGTCACCTAAGATAAGTGATAGAGCTTGAAATGAGATCTCGAATAGGGGTAGTAACGCTAACCTTAAGAGAATTTAAAATTTTATTAAGTCATATAATGTTTGAATTACTCTAGAGTCATGATAAAGGGCCAAAAAAATATAGCCATCAATAGTCTCCCACAATTTTTAAGATGATTGAATTTTCCTATTAAGAAATTAGAAGTGAAATTATAGTTATACTATCAATATAGACATGTCAAACATTTAGTTAAAATATATAAATATAGATAAAGTAACAATCTATATAAATTATGTCATGATTACTAATATGGTTTTAAAAAATTTGTTAGCATCATTATTATGAGTTGTTAAGGAAATATTTTCTTGATGAAACATAACATATATATTTATTGCTCATCCATGCTGACACAAAGTGTATGCTTACATTAATCAAACATTAATATCTTTATTAATATTAGTAGAAGTGGGTAATGTACAAACGTCTACATGCTCTATGGGTATTTAAACAATTTTTAATAGAAGATATTGATTATCTTTTAGATGTAGATTTGAGATGATACTTAATTTTCTTAGTAATGTGATGAACATTTGGTTACATAAATTATTTATTATAATAGGAGTACGTAGGTACGTATAGGTCATGTTTCTTATCGACATATGTGTGTAGTTTAAATATAGAGTCAGGAGTTATTTTATGTTGTTTTATGTAATAGGAGAGGTGGGTAATTATTAAAATAGAATAGATCTAGTAGCTATTATTATCAATGTTGATTAGGTTATATCCAATAGATGGTCAAATATTTTAGATTTTTGTGAGAAATTTATAGGATCTATCTTTTATTTTCCTATTATGTCTCATGAGGATTGACGCAGAGGCTCCATTAAGGACCTCTAGTTAGCATTTCTAGTATTTATCTTTTTTTAGCATGACATGCATTTAGTTTAAACTAATCTTAAGATATATAAACTCTTATTGCATCCCTTTCTGTGACTTCATGAATTATAGTTTAGTTTTCAACTTTTAATCAAGTTATACAATTTTTCACATGTTAAGTAGAAATTCTAGTGTTTTTTATTTTTTATTCAAAATTTATTTTTATTTGAAAAGTTTAGGTCTTAGTAATGTTGTTTTTCGCATGCTAATTAAGTTCAAACTGAGAATGCACCCTAGCACCACACTTGTTGAATTTATTATATCACATAATTATATGTGTGTAGTATTGTTTTATATATCATAGAGTGCTAAAAATTAAATTATCAATTTTGATATGAAATAATGTTTCAGTTAAAATGTATAAAGTTATTTATAAACAACTTACAAAATCCATTATTAGGGAGTATTAATATGATTTAAAGGGAATTGTCAGTGTTATGTTATTGCTATGTGGTTTGTTAATTAAACATTTTCCATGCTTATAAGCTATTAAAATAAATATTTATCCTAATGTATATATGTTTACTTGGTATACAGGATAAACATAACATTATGGTTATTTAATTTCATAGTTGAAGAAGTTTGTAATTTAGAAATATATACGTCTCGTATATACATGGTCAAACATAGCATTGTGATTATTTAATTTCATAGTTGTAGAACTTTGTAATTTAGAAATATATATGTCTCATACTTTATGAATATTGATTTTTTTTTATAATAGCATATATTAGTATTTACATATAGATTTGAGAGAGGTGGGTAATTTAGATGCAATGTGAGGGAGTTATCATGAATTATGTTTCATAATGACAAAATGGGTAATTTAGATACAATTTTAGGGGGGATATTTTGAATTACTTTTCATAATGACAAGTGTGGGTAATTTATATACAAATTTAGGGGGTTATTTTGAATTATCTTTCGTAATGGTGGTGGCGGGTAATTTATATGCAAAATTATGGGGTTACTTTATGAATTTTTTATAATGGCAGAGGTGGGTAATTTTTTTATAAGTTGCAATAGATCCAATGGCTATTATTGGAGATGATGATTATTAGAGTCTACCAAATTAAAGGCTAGATGTTTCTGATTATTGTGAGAATTTCTATGATTTATCTTTTTTTTTTCTAGCGTGTCTGGTGAGAGTTAATGTGGTGCCTCCGTTGAGGCCTCTAATTAGTAATACTAATTTATACTATGATTTATCTTTTTTTTTCTAGCGTGTCTGGTGAGAGTTAATGTGGTGCCTCCGTTGAGGCCTCTAATTAGTAATACTAATTTATAAATTGCAATAGATCAAATGGCTATTATCGGAGATGATGATTATTAGAGTCTACCAAATTAAAGGCAAGATGTTTCTGATTATTATGAGAATTTCTAGGATTTATCTTTTTCCTGGCGCGTTTGGTGAGAGTTAACGTGGTGCCTCCATTGAGGCATCTAATTAGTAATAGTAAGATAAGATGTTCAATAAAAGTACTTCCAAAACGTAAGAACCAATCAACTTCAAAAAAACAAAAATGTAAGAACCGATCAATGGCAAGCAACAACCGATAAAAAAACCCAAAATACATCTCTGTATAAAAAAAGAAGAATATATACCATCAGATTTTGTGACGGCTAAATTAAATAAAAAATGCCTAATACAGTTAGTAAATAGTAAATTTTGAAATAATAGATTAAAAGTATATAGGAATTTGATTTCCATATGAGTTGGACAGAAAAAAAAACTAAATAAAGAGTCTACTCAAAACACAATTAGTAAAGATAAATTTGAAAATAAAAATAAAATAAAAAATTTAATAGTTTGATCTCCAATGGATTGTAAAGAAAAAGTCATAAACAGATAGTTTATTAAATTATAATAATTATTAGTAAGTAACTAAATTTAAAATTATGATTGATAGATTGTAGTAACTACCACATTAATCTCGTAGATCTAGATTGTAACAATCTAAATCTATCAAAAGATATTAAGCAAATATAAGAAGATTTCCGCAAGTTCCTGATGCACACGAGGCGATCAACGTGGAAGGCTATTTTTGTGACTTTGAATCTGATCATGAACCACCCCTAGAAATTTGTTTACAGGGGGAGGGGTTGAAACCTTGTACAATGAATGGTGTAATGTCGGTTTTAGAAACCGCTCCTGAAAACATTTTTTTGATCTACTCTGGAAATCTTTTCGCAGTAGTGATATAAAAGTAAAGACGTACTCTAGATAGAACAAATGTGGAAAGAGAGTAGTGTAGAATTCAATTAACGTTACAATTAGATTTCGATACCATAACCATAGGAAACGCTTATGAAAGGGATTACATGCACGCACAAGAGCTACCCAAGGTAGACAACAATGTATCGATACACCCACAGAAGAAGAGAAGATCATCAAGATCCTGGCCGGGCCGGTCACCTTTTAGGTACCTGGTGAAGTGGTGATCGAATGAAGAAGAAGGATCGAAGCACTGAAGCTGAAGGTAATTAGCGCATTCATGCATGGCCAAGCATGGCTGTATGGGTGAGGATGACCCTGACGGCCTGACCAGTAGGTGCATGCAGTGGCCAGCAAATTAACAAGCACTCGCACACGGTTCGGGTTAGTTTCCAGGAGGCGGAATGGCGTATTATACATACGTCGTACGAGCGTGCAACGTAACGGCGCCGCGCTGCGCCGCGCTGCCAAGTGTGTATACACCCACTCTGATCCCCATACGTGCGCTAGCTGCGCACACGTACGTACAGTACGCGCCTGTGGATTACTGACAGATCATGTGCCTTGCCTGTATCTAGCCATGCATCTGGGTGCGCATTTGCCCTGCAGCAGGATGGAGTGTGGCGTTGGACCGATCCCGTTCGGGCTCGAGCTTCCCAGTTAGGTCAAACCCGTAGTAATTGCCTATGGATCGTCCCAGCAAGTTACCCAACCCCCGGCAATAAAGTTGGCTGGCAGCTGGAGAGACGATCAGACGATGAGACGGACCAAAAGACGCAGGAAACCAGCAGCCAATTAAACACCGGAACAGCAGAGAGGCTATACTACGTAGGAGTACTCTCGCTGTCTCCACTCCACACTCCAGTCCACTATACATTCCGGCATCCCCCTCTCTCAGATAGCCACCTCGTTATTGCTGGGCTGGGGGTAGCTAGCGTCATTTCTGAAAGCAAAAGGGAGGGTGGGCACTGCAGGCTGCCGCTGCAGCTCTCGCCTGCAAGGTTAAGGAAGTTTTGCCAGGCTGCCAGCGGAAGAGAGTCGCAGGTACCCTTGTGCTGGGGTGCTGGAGACAGGAGATCGAGGCGCGCGAGATGGGGAGGGGCAGGGTGGAGCTGAAGCGGATCGACAACAAGATCAACCGCCAGGTGACCTTCTCCAAGCGTCGCAATGGCCTTCTCAAGAAGGCCTACGAGCTCTCCGTGCTCTGCGACGCCGAGGTGGCGCTCATCGTCTTCTCCAGCCGTGGCAAGCTCTACGAGTTCGGCAGCGCAGGGTATGCATGCATCTAGCCGGGTGTATGTATCCCGTCTCCGTCGTCTTTATTGGTCGCTCGCTCATGCAATTCTCGCAGATCTGTGCTAGCTGATGGTTGCTGCTTAATTTGTTCTTCGGTTCCTTAACTTGTGGCTTTTCGTTTCTTCCTTTTTTCTTTGAGCACGCAAGAGTATCCTTCTGTTCTCGCGGATTAAATCTCATGTTGTTTCTTGATTTTTAATTGGTAACAATTTCCATATTAAGCACACCTGGCTACCTACTGGATCAGCAGTCCCAGCATAGTTGCTCCGTTTTTTGTAGGTATCTGCCTCCTCTGGACTTACTTGGGTGTCCTCCCATGTAGTAGTATACACGCATTAGACGGGGAGCTAGCTACATCATCTATCTTTGTTGAGGAATCTTCTCCAAAAAAAAATTCACGCCCTAATAACCTAGCTATAAGTGTCCCCTTTCTTCCTTCTTCTCTGGGAAATTGGACAGAATAATAGCACTCTTTGTTTTTGCATTTGGTGTGAGATGTGACTGCGTGTTATGCGCGCCTGTAGGAGAATATGAGGCCGCCGGATATGTGTGATCGCAAGTTTTTATGACAGTACGTGTGGGCTTGAAGGGGAAGGGAGTGAGTTCTCCATTTAAATCCTACTGGACCAAACAGTAGCCTTGATGCCCACCGAATTTTCCTTAAGTTTTGCAGTAAATCATTTTGCTATTTCTTTAAGGTAAAATTCCACACTGAATCGCATGCATGTTCTTTTCACAATATATGTTCCCGTTTGCTTTCCTTGTTGAAGCTCTCGTCATTTGTTTTAGAGAAGCTAGCTTGTGCCTAATTGCTCCCTAGTTATCCTACGATTACTTACTTGAGGAGGCAATGTTTTAAATCTCCTTCTATAGCTGCCGTTATAGCCCGCTATAGCCTTTTAAGACAGGGTGCCCCTATTTGTGTTCATGTATAATTTAGCCGCTATATCCCGCTATAGCCCGATTTAATTCCGCTATTAGCTGATTTAGAGGTATACCGCTAAACACCTTAGCCCGCTATTTAAAACTATGCTTGAGGTTCATGTGTGTAGTACAAAATGTTGAGGCCTGAGGTGTCACATATCTAGTCGTCCTACTTTTTATACTGTTCACCTTGTTTTCTTTTATTTTCAGCGTCCTCGTTTACAATTCCATTTCCTCAAATTAATGCATTAGCTATGTAGATTACACAAGACGAATGTTCATCAGTAAGCCATTTTTTTTCCAAAAATCGATTGCCAGCATCAGTTTAATTAGTCATGGAACTTATTTGATGCACACGGCAAAGTCACTGTTTCCGGTAGTGATGTACTGTCAACAAGTAATGCCCAAGTAGTTCATTTTCTTAATTTCAACCCATACTCAATTTTTTCTCTGGAAATCTTTGAAAAAAGTTGTTTAACAAATAGCTACTAAACTGTTGATCTTGTGCTATGTTTCTTTTATCTTCTCAATCTTTGTAATTATGATAATGCATGTATGAAGTTATATGAGTTATCATTTTTTTTTTGTAAATGAACTTTGTGTGTCAAGATTTATATCTTGTACTTATTACTCAACAAGAAACAAAAATTGGTGCTAATACAGCTTTTGTTCGACATATTTCACAAACATGCACAAAATGAAAATGATAATCACAAAGATTCAAATATAATGTTTCATTACTTTTTTTTGAGTCCTATAATATTTCTTTACACATTTATATAAGGAACTTTTAGTTGTATGGATACTGAATGTACCACTTGGCAACTCTTCCTTTTGGTCAATATGCTCTAGGATGTATTATATAAATATAGTGAAATTCCACGCTACCCATTCCACGCTAGCCCATTCCACTTTTGTTTGAAGAAAAAGCATGTACTTCACTCTTTCGGCCTTCCCTATTTCTAATCATCTCTTACTGTTTGAATGATGTAGACACACACACACACACACATACATATATATAAAGCTTTAATCCTGAAAACATGAAATAAATGAAGTCGTACATATCTAAAACAAAGAACTAAATATGGATTATACTAATGATAAAAAGAAGCATCACTTGATGATATCTATTCAATTCCTACTTTTATTTGATCATAAATTTATTAAATGCATTAGATTTTAATTTTATATTATATATATGTATGACGTATAACTTATATGCATATTTTTTTTACATAGATATAATTTGATTTAGTATAATTTCTCTATGCAGGGTAAAAAAGACTTTGGAAAAGTACCATAATTGTTGTTACAATGCTCAAAATTCCAACACTGGTTTTGACGGTGAACCTCAGGTACAATTAGCTTCAAGCCAACCAATCTAATTTTGTTATTTTTTACAATATGGACTGGTATTACATTGTTTCAGTTTTTAGACCAGACTCCAAGCACCGCAGTGTCTGCTATTTCTGAAAGATCATATTTTTCATTACTCATATGGCTGATGATAATAGTTTGTACTTGCTACAAAAATACTAATATTTATTCTCTGGACATTCAAAAGAACTGCAGTTGCTCTACAGTATGTCAATGACAATGCATTAGTTTAAAGCGGTCTTGTTTGTTACAGTTTTGTTAACCCGTACTGTCTCCATCCATCAATATAAGACATTTTCAAAAGGTGCATTTCATATCTAATATATATATTGTCATTTCTTACAAATCAATATGATATTATCTTTTTTAAGGACGGTAAGAATTTTGCCGCAAGCTTTATTTTAGAAGAAGAAGAAACAAGTGACATCCTATTTTTTTAGTGGAAAGCATGCCAAAACACCACAAGACTAGGGTACAAAGACCAAACAACTCCCTACAAAGATCGACCCAACTAAATATCATCCCTTTGTAATATGAATATATTGATACAACTTTTGTATACTAATGATGCATAATTTTTTGATGAATTGTTGGTTAAAACTTACAAAGATTGACCTTTTCAAATTAAAGTACACCTTGGTGATACATTAGTAAGGTTTTCATGAGTTGAGGACTTGAGGTATGGGTCAAACTGCTATTAGTTGTAGATGAGATATATATGAGACAATAAAAGGAGTGTAACTTCAGTTTGTTTATTCAAAGCTTTGATTAGTAGCTATTTAATTTGGAGTACATTATTATGTGTCCAAATACCTCCTGAATTTTGCCCCACAAAAATGGTTTATATCTCTAATTAGATTATTCAAAAATATATGGGATTCTTATAAAATGGATGGAGAAGTAAATTCAGGAGACTAATGTATTAGCAAGGAATCTTTATACATAACGATTCATTACACATATACCTATAGTCACTTGGATCATCAATTGTACTAAATTTGATCTCTCAATGGTCAAAATGCAAACGCATTATATTGCACTAATTAGTGATTATTCTGCAAGTACCAATGTCAGCCGTTCTGCTGTTTCATCATCACATTATCATCTCCGTAATTTATTTTCATTTGAACTTCAGAGTTGGTACCAAGAAATGTCAAGGCTCAAGAATAAGCTTGAATCTCTCCAACGTTCTCAGAGGTATAAATATTAGAGAAATTTTACAATGGTTGGAAAAAATATGGGTTATCGATTGGGCGAGATCAGACGGTGGAAAAATAGAAGGTACTCAACTGAAAGTACATAGAGATACCAAATTAGGTGGGGCCAGTACCAAAACATATGGGACAAGATCTATTTTTCATTTTATATTTTATTTTCGAATAAGGATAAAATAGTCATTTTAGTACTGTCATTCAAGGGCAACAATGGGATTTCCCATGTCATCTATGTTAAATCTGAACCAGTGCAATGTCCGCTAGATCGACGTTGTCCTACGCCAGCACCCACATTCGATCTGCAGCAGCTGCGCAAGCCATAGGTGAACGGTGGTGAGGGCTAGCGTCTTTGCCGGGGCACATGCGCCGCCCCGGAGCCCGGACCAAGAAGGGCGCGAGCTGCGGGTCCCTGCCCAGAACGCTCACGTCCTCCTTGAACTGCTCGTGAGGGAACGCGAAGGGCTCTGGACAGACGGCAGGGTCGTGATCGATGCCCCACGCGTTCACCATGGCCGTGGTGCCGGCCAGGTCCAGGTGACCGCCGACCACCGCGTCGTGCATGGCGAGGCCCGCAAACCAGAGAGCAGCGACGCGGAAGGGTGGATGCATGCTAGCATCTGGAGGTAGGGCAGGCAGGCCATGTCGGCGTTGGACATGGCACGACCGCGGCCCACGACGGTGTTAGCACCATCCGCCGTCGTGGATTGCCGAGCTCTGCAGCACCATCCGCCGTCCTGTATTGTCGGCTGTGCGGGAGTTTGCTGCAGACAGGCCGTTTGCTACAGACACAACCTCAATTAGTACTAAAATACCCTCATTTCTCCATTGATTACTTAGAAAATAGAAAAAGATGAAAGAACCTGGAGGTACCAAGGTACTTTCCCAAACATGGTAAGAGGTCTCATAAATATTAATTCGCTCCACCTTTGTTATCCACATATACTACATATATAAATAAATGATCATTAACTACATGACCATTGAAAAGTCTCTGGAAAAGAAACAAACATTCAAGCGAATGGTTATGTTTTATATTCTTTAATTATGCATGACCTTGTCAAAAATTACTTGCCATTGCAATTTGCAACTATATACTCACACGCGGTAGTGTTTGTCTCAAAGGCACATGCTTGGTGAGGATCTTGGACCCCTGAGCATAAAGGAGCTGCAGCAACTGGAAGAACAACTTGAGTATTCTCTGTCACAGGCTCGACACCGGAAGGTTCACCATTGTACACCAATGCCCTAACTTGTTGTTTGACGCAGTATTGTTTGTTTCTCTGTAGTACAATAGTGCAGGAATATTGTGCAACGGAGAGGAATAATTAATTTGATTTTGATATTACAAGTCTAATAATAAATGTGGTGCATGCTGGCACATATAGTAAGCTTAAATTAAGCATAGCACCTGAATATCTTTTATCTTCATCTCAGACTCAAATGATGATGGAACAGATGGATGAGCTTCGCAGAAAGGTATTATGTGGACCCAATCTCTATTCTCACCATGTCTTCTATCATATTTGGTAAATCATTAATATATTTTGCATTTAAAATGACAAGTACATCATGCAATTTCTTAGACAAAATAGAACACAAGATTGACCGATGTTGTGCATCATCTGTTACAACTTCTGTATGTAGTGTAGTATGTTCCATAAATTAAAGCTAAATAAAGGAGGGATTTTTAGTTCTATGTATCAGAACATCATTTCGTCTTTGATTCACAAACTACTGTAGCAATACCAAATGCGTGGCAAACGACAGTTAACGGAGATGCAGTTTGCAAGATTGGTTACCAGAACATGTACACACAGCAGCATGGACGACTCAGTTTGCTGAAGTTGTTGCGAATGCATGTCAAAGATTCCTTATAGTATTACAATCTATATTTTACGGTGTCAGTTGATCAACAGTTCATAAAACTAAGTATAGCATGAAGTATCACCTTACATCTGTTTTGAATCGAATGCAGGAGTGCCAACTTGGTGAGCTTAACAAGAAACTGAAAAACAAGGTCACTAAATAGCTAACTGGTTATTTGATATACATGTGTATATGCTTGTCAACGTTCACAACAATTCAAAGCCATGCATATGCCTTATTGGAATGTTACTATCTTCCGAAACATTCAGCTGGAAGCAGAAGGTTGCAGCAACTACAGGGGCGTTCAAACATCCTGGGCTACTGACGTGGCCATAACCGGCGACAGCGGCGCACTTTCCACGCCAAATGCTGAACCACCAGCTGCTGCTGTGGACTGTGAACCCACTCTGCAAATCGGGTAAGGCTAGGTTATTATAAAACCAGAACCACCATGATTGAAGATGAAAGCACCGGATTAAGCAATATTTGTATGATCTGTGCATGCTACAGGTTCGTCGTTGCTCCTGAGGCAGCAGCCATGCCAAGAAGTAACACTGAAGGAGGGGAGAACAGCCACTTCATGCTCGGTTGGGCCCTTTGAGTTGTTCTCGATCGATGAAATTCGAAGCAACTACTGATTAATAAAGATACCGTACGTTTAGTATGGCAAACCATGAAACTTATATGGTGATACAGTCAGTCCCATGAGTTGAATGCCGGCCCTAGCTGATGGTATGCATATGCACTGTTCTCTCTGACAATCATATGATGGCCCCCTAGCTTCGCTTTATTAACTGTGCTAGCTAGCCTTTTCCTTGTCCTTCATTCTTGGATTAGAATCAACACTTGAGTTGAAGGCCTATTAAATGGATCGTACTCTATGTACATAGTGCTGCCTATTGTGAGACCCAGCCCGTTGGGTCAAGTTGGGCCGGACTGAATTCGAGTACTGTATCACTAAGTACTGTAGCTCGGAAAACAATGTTCACCCGAGGTTCAGTAGGGGAGGGAGGGACGGCCGCACCAGCTTAAATAGTCAGGCCAAGGACACGTATAAACTTTTGGTTAACTGTTTTATGCGCAGTAAGGAAGAAAGTGCAAGCGAGTTGCTACGTAGGTGGGGCCCACCCCTTGGTAGAGTGGGCATGTGCCGTGTGCCGGGCTAGGGTGTTACAAATGGTATTCAGAGCCAACTCTCGCAGTTTCATTGACGTATGACTCTGCAAGAGCATGACAGCGACACGGCCAGGGCCAGTGCCTTGTGCGCACGCAGCGAACACGACACCTCGTGAGTCGTGACTCACCAAGGTTTGCTGCATCAGTGCATCACGTGCAAGAAATGTTCAGCTTTGCTGATAACGGAAGAAATTAAAGTCACGGCGCAATACCTATACCACGTGGCACCTGGCGATTTTTTTTAAATAATATTTTTTAATATTAATTGCAAATATAGCATTTGATTAAAAAATGCAAATCTAGTTACAAGCCTATCGGCTTCTGGAGTGCCGACATGTATCTATCGGCCGTCCAGAAGCCGACAAGTCTCCGAAGCGGGCTGGCACCTACGGCAAAATGACTAGCGTATCCTGCTGACCCCGTCCCTCTCATTCGATCGATTCCCCTCGCGGCATCGCCAGTTGCCCGCCTACAGTAGCCATTGCCGCTCCACCGCCTGGCTTAAACCCTCGTCCATCCAAACCCTTCCGCCGCCGGCGGTGGCGGCGACGACTACGGAGAAAGGGGCGCAGGCTTGCGATGGACGTCCCGTACCTGGTAAGCGCATCCTCCGCCTCCCCCTCCGTCTCTCTGGGAGTCTGAGTGGTGGGCGTGACTTCATTTTTTAGTGGCGCACTCGCGCGTGTGCTACTGTTCGTACTCGCCCCAAGCGCCCCCCCTTTCCTTTTGCTACTGCGCGCGTGGCGCCCTGCATGGTGAATTGGGTTAGGGACGGGATGGGGGCGTTTCAGAATCAGTACAAGAGCCAGCGGGCGAGCGAGCTATGGCCGGATGATTTGGGGGGAAAAGGTCTGAGCTTTTCGAGGGGGGTTTGGAGGGTTCTGCAAGAGGTGCTTTGCATTTTGGGCGCAAGGTTTTGCATTTCCAGGAGAAAGGATCGTAAATGGTGGGGATGTGGGTTCTCAAGGGTTACTGAGAGACGATGCTGGGTGTTATTGCTAAACCTTATGCCCAACCTGATCACATTGTAAGAGATGGGCTCTGAAATAGATGATGCAGGTTTGTATGTGAGTTGCATTTCCTGTGTAATTTTGCTGTGGTACTGTGTTCTTTAGGTTTGGTGAGCTGAGTTTTGTTTTTCGATTTCTCGTAGTCTGGCTAATGATGGGGTAAAGCATTGTCATTGTTATGCATTCAATCATGTGATTCTCGATGTTTGGAAATACTTTTCATTTGATCATCAAAAAATGATTTTCTTAATTGTGTTACTAATATCTTGATGTTACCAATTGGTTCAATCTAAACCTATAACCTCAGATCATCATAGATTTAGAGTATTGTTACTTTTACTTTCACTGCAAAAAGAATGTGGATGAATTTTAAACCAAGTCTAATCATTTTCTGTACTCTGATTTATATGATAGTTTCACTACGTTTGATGGATTGATATACTTTGTACAGGTGTGAGACGTGGTTCATCTAAGTCAAAGAATAGTTGTTCTGTGCCTTAATTCCAAGTACACATCTTGCACAAAATGTCGTCACTAGTTCTTGGCTTCAATCTGCTGAGGAACAACATACGGATTAGCTGTCCAGTTAGGTTTCTCAAGCAACATGCTGGATTTTCATCTGGGAAATTGCTTCAACCTAAAAGCTATGAGAAACAACATTTTACTACGAATCTTACAGGGGTAGTTAGTTGGCACAAAATTGACCCTAGCTATTGTGTTCCTTCAATTCTGCCACTGTGGCTTCAGCAAACTTCTGGACATGATCAACCTACAACTTTACTTGTCTTTGATGTTGAGACTACTGTTTTTTTTTCCATGTAAATAATAGAATTGTTGAGTTTGCACTTCGTGACCTTTCTAGAGGAAAGGATTGCATATTTCAGGCTCTCATTAATCCTGAACGGGATGTCCCCAAATACGCTTCCAAGCTCAATAACATTACCACTGAATTGGTCTGCAGGCCTGATGTCCCAAGGTGTGTTTCTCTTCTGTACTTGTATGTTATTCTTCATCTCTCAGTCACATGAATTCACATTAGTTTATAAATTTGTCTATAAACACTGTGGTACTGAAAATAAAACGTAAAATGCCTAGTGAACATTAATACAGTGTTATTCTCGGAAACTGTAAAACCCACTCAGGTCAGGTCATTGTGAAACCGCAAAGGGTTATTGCCATTGCGGTTCATTTTGGAAACTAGTTAACTAGCAAGAAATTTATCAACAATTAACTTTCTTTCAGTGAGATTTATGCAATTTTGGTGTGCTTGAGTTTATAGGATGTATTATCCTTTTAGCATTATTATTAGGTAAAATTCACCATGCTCTACTTGTACTTGATAGCATAACTACCCAGCACCTTGAATGCATGATAACTTGAAATAAATTGAGTAAGTACTAAATAAAATATATCCTGTTGTTTGTAACCAATGCAAATTGTTCTAATCACCTAGAGACAGTTTTCAATTGTTGATTTATTATGCGGCTTGCGTCCTTGGTAGCCCCTTCGTGTGCACGGTGGTGTCATGTTTTAGATTTTAGATTTGTTGCAAATGCATGGTTGTTTTTTTTGTAAAGAATTCATCCTCTCACGGGTTTCCCTTGAGATATTGTTGTTAAACCTTTTTTGTTCTGAAATCTAAGTGACATTTAGTTAGCTTATAAGAATCCATGCTACTAAAGGTCCTGTGCATCGAATACAACTGTTATGACATCACCTCACATTAGCCTTGTGGGATATACTCCTCAGTCCCAAATTTCTTCATTCATGAACATGACTCTGTTAACACAGACCATAATATGTAATCATTTATGTGAGAAATTAAATTTGACTATTCAATTTTTCCCCCTTTGGCAAATATCCATGCTACTAAAGGTTTTATTATAAGCAAGTATTTGCTAACTTTCTGTGCAAGAGAAGGTTTTAAGCCTTTTGTAACAAAAAATTTATTGAGTGTGTGTTCTTTATGTTAACACTTAGTTCAACATTCCACTTACCCATATATGCTATCTTAATTTGGTTACCATAGGTTCAGTGATGTTCTTCCAATACTACTAGCATATTTTCGAAGTCGCCAAGCTCCTGGCAAGCCAGTTCTGTGGATTGCTCATAATGCAAAAGGTTTTGATGTCCCTTTTCTTAATTTGACCGTTGTTCAGCCCAGGTTCCTTCAGATTGGCTATTTGTCGACAGTCTTCATTTAGCGAGAAAGTTGAAGAAAATAGATGGTATGCCATCGTACATCTGGGTTCCTCTCATCATATAATGTTTGCTTGCACCTTGCTAAGACAATCCTAACAGCTCTTTCTGGGACGCTATCTGGGACTTTTTAAGACCGCAACCTCTTTCTATTCATGCATAGTAGTAGATAGAAAGTGTTTCTGTTGCGATATGTATGAATTCAGTATCACAATTCAATTAATCATATTTGTGCTAGTATTTGAATGGTTCTTGTGGTATATATCATTTTGCAGTTCTCAATTTGATTGCAGATTTTGTGCTGTTTGCCTATTATGGTATATCTGAAGCCCAAGTAGATCTAGTTCTAAGTGGATTTTCTGTTCTATTGCAGGGAAGAAAAATCTTGTGAACTTGGTACTGGAAAAACGCTATGGCATCAGTTCGGAAGGCCCGTCTCATAGAGCAATGCCAGATGTGGAAGCAGTATGCAACATTCTCCCAAAAATCACTCTGGATTTAAAATTGACATGTGACGATCTAATGAATGAGGCTATGAGATTTAGTGATGTCAGAAAGGTTTCTTGAATACGGGTTTCCGATCACCTGGTTGTTTTAGTTATAAACATATTTGACATATCATTTAGCTGATTGTTGTTGCATACGGTGTAGTATATCAAATTCTCAATGACCATAGCGTTCTTGTATTGAAAGGCTTATGGTGATTTCATAGATTATCAAATTCTTAGTGCCTATAGGGATTTCTTAGTTATCCTACTTGTACTTGCTTTACTCATGAGTTGATGTGAAAAACACTTAGTGCTGTTACATCCTTAAAACATAGCAAGAAAAAATTATGCTTCGCTTACGTTTTCTTGAGTGCTCTATTCAGTCCGCTGAACAATGTATTCAATTGGTAACTGTGGTCCTCCAGTCCAGTGGTTTGGTGTCTCTAGTCATCTTCTTGCATCATAATATTATATACTGAGTCCACTTGTTGGAAATGGTGGAATATTGCACTTGGAGCTGGATTTATCAATTGATTGGACCATCTAAGTGCACGACTGACATGTTAGCTCGGACAGGTTGCTCATGGCTCTGCAAGAGCATGGCACTTGGGTCGGGGAGCTGGAAATATGGACGTGGGTCAAGAGAGTCGATCCTGAACATTTATCCCGTATGGATAAGCTGGTTCGATAGTTCGACGAGGACGTTGAATCCTTTGAGGGTGGGTGGATGTGAGATCCAGCCCATTGGGCCAAGTTGGGCCGGACCGAATTCAGATTACTATAGCACCAAGCATTGTAGCTGCGGAAACACTGTTCACCCCGAGGTTTAGTATGGTACTGGGAACCGAGGGACGGCCCGACCAACTTAAATAGCCAAGCCAAGGACACATAGTAACCTTCGGTTAACTGTTTTGCGCGAAGCGAGAACAAAAACGCAAGCGAGTTGCTACGTAGTTAGGGCCCACCCCTTGGTAGAGTGGGCATGTGCCCTATGCCGGGCCTGGGGTGTTACAACTATCAATCTATATATCTATCTAGGAATAGAATGGGAGGTTTGATGAAGCAATCTGAACTGAAGGGCGTGGTTGTGTTTTATTTCAATTCTGGTTGAATCTGGATCTTGTTTAAAACCAACGTAAAAGCTGACCTTAACTTGAATGTCAAATTAGCTGCAGACTTGGACTCTATATATAGTCTGAATATATTGCAAATCTTTGCATCGTCCGTTTGGCTGATTGATCAGTTGAATTGAAGGGTAAAAGCAACAGTTACTTTTTTTCCCTGAAAGACAAGAGGCAACAGCGATCATGAGTCCTCATATAACTACTACATCACATGTCCTGTAGTCCTGTTAGAAAGAAACATAGTACGGGCGTTTTCATTATCTAATTTGCCTGACAGTATGGTGAAGGCCAGATTACTTATGAATTCAACAGTTACCGACTTAATCAGCATGTTCGCTTGGTCGTATTTGGCTTATAAGTCATGACTTATCAGCCAATGAACAATATTTTTCTCTCACACCAAACCAGCCAACAGTACTTTCAGCCATGGTTTATAAGCCAAACAATCCCAAACAAACAGAGCGATTCTTGAAAGGCGAGTGCTTCAATGCGACAATGAGGTGTTACTGTATTACTATTAGGATCACCTTTCTTTTTGAAAACCTAGCAGGAGCATTGCCTCTCAATTAAGATAGATATAGAAGTTTATGTTCAGAATGGCCAATGGCCTAAGAGCCTCAGAGGGCACACACTGAACACACTGTCTCCGCTAGGGGAGCACCGGCTTAGGTGGGGACTAACTGAGATTGTTATTGAGCACCCTCCCATGTATACCAATACCATATATATAATATCGGTATATACTAATATTGGTTTATTGTGGTGTGAATTATTGTGCCATACACACTTACTGATCATCATCGATCGCATGCCTTTGCCCAGAATCAGTAGCTTTGGCGTGTGTCTATGGCACACGGCGAAGCTCAAAAAAACACTCGGCAAAGGCTTTGTCGAGTGTTACACTCGGCAAACGGCACTCGACGAACACAGAGTCGGCAAAGTTGTCTTTGCCGAGTGTTTTTTTTTTCGAACACTCGGCAAACACTTTGCCGAGTGCTAAATCGACACTCAGCAACGAATTTTTGAAAAAATATAAAAAAACCGCCGCCGCTGCCTTTCCGCGTGCGGCGCGTGATGGATCCCTGGCGCATCTCGCGCGGTGTGGTCGGCTGAGCCTCCGGCCGCGCCGCCGTAGTCGGCGAGGGCCGCTATTTGGGGCCAAGCCGACGGGCTCTTCGCCCGTCCACGACGGCCTCGGCGTCTGGCAGCGCCGGCGGGCCCCGGTTCGAGCTTGCGGTTGATGGCGCGAAGTAGCGCGAAGCGGCCATCGCCCCGCCGCGAACCGCCGGACCTTGCCGGAGCTCCGTGACGTCACCTCCAAGAACTACCAAGCGGCAGGCAGACAAAGAAGCGCGTCACCGACGCTTTTGAGTTGCTTTCGGTTGGAGATTTGCTATTCGATGAATTTTCCGCGGGATGAAGATGTACAAGAAGGTTCGTGGGGCTCTGCGTGCGGCGAGGAGGCGAGCGGGTCTTACCGGTTGCGGTGGAGGAGGAGAGTCGCCACCGCCATCCTTGCTCGGGTCATTGCTGTCGTCGTCGCCGGGTGCTGCGCGCCGTCGCTCCATCGCATCACTGACCGATTGACTCGCGCTTATTGCTGCGTGAGCTGCTTTATGAAGAACCGACCAATTATACAAGATTAAGTAAGGAAATTTTCCGCCGAAGTAGATAATTTAGCAAACTTAAGCCCGTATAACCCGGTAGTCCGTGAAACCACGAAGGATTTCAAACCAATCGACATACAAACCAAGATCGTACAAGTTTAGCAGTCACCGTCACATGTTACATAAAGTTCGCAATGATAGTGGATACATCAGAGTTTAAAACATAAAGTTATTACAATACAAGTTCAAACTGAAATAGCGGAAGCAAATAGTTTTAAAGCCACACACACTTTTGGTTCAGATACAGTGCTAGTAGGTGGTCATCTCCAACAAAAGCATCAGATGAGAGATATAGAGTGACCATTGTCCTTGGTCCTAGTTGTCACCCATCGTCGGGTACAGGCAGTTAATGCAATAGCCGTAGTATATTTGACCATCTGCAACAACAATGGGAACAACGCCCTGAGTACGAGAAGGTACTCAGCCAGACTTACCCGTCTTAAACCAAAATAAAACAACACCAAGGATTATGCAAGGCTTTCTTTAGTGGACTAGCTGACTTGTTTGCGAAAAACATAAGCTATCATGAAGAAACCATTTTAAATACTTTGCATCATCTTTATTAGGACCTATCCATCTAGGTAAGCGCCTATACTATAGCAATCACTTGATTAACCAATAACATCTAGTTACCATCTTAGATTTAGCATGTCTCATACCATCCAGATAACCATTAGTGTTCCATCATAATTACTACGATGTCGTAGCTCGAGTCAAGTGCTCACTATTCAGGAGCGATGGCGATTCGAATCGATTTCTAACCAGCTGGTGATTTATTCCTCACACAAACCACACTCACCGATCAAGTGAGCTACATATCACCAATGACACTTTCCAAATAGCCGCGGGATAGCAGTCATGGACCGCACTACCCAGGGACCGCCCGACAGCCAGGACGCACCTTGGGCTCACTCTTCGCATCCCCGTCATACCCCCTTCAGCACCAGTTTGCCAATCCGAGTTTATCTCGGCTCGAAAAGTATCACTAGCTTCGCGGTCGAAAGGTACTTTATTCGGCCAGCTAAATGTGAGGCATGCGTTCAACATGACAAGAGGGACGAGCAACGATCGGTCCTTAATCGACACAGACGAAATCATTATAATACCACATATAAGACTCCGCCCGGTCTCCATTTATTCCATATTACCATGTTATGTTCCACGATAGCACAATATAGCCAACCGTGATCAAGTTATCACCTTATAGCTCGCAGGTGACAGGAAATCACCCGACTTCTACCGGTCTAAGCAGAGCTAAGCATGATAAACGTTCCTGGACTTAAATATGATTTATGGTAGATATTTCTGGTCAAGGAAGGTAATATGCAGCAAGTGTTTCCAAACAACTCCTGTCATGTAATGCAGCAATACGAATAACTTTAAGTGATATTATTAAAATAGGGAGACTTATAATGCTCCGGGGCTTGTCTCGTTCGAACGAACTAGGTTGATGATCCACGCACTCGGGCAAGTCCTCTCCTTGCTCCTCTTCCTCTGGCACCTCCTGTGCCTGGATTTCTTGTGGATCTGTCCCGGTCTGCTCTTCCTGAACTACGACTAGCAACTCCTCCTGCGATCCTGTATGATGCAGATGTCTAAGTGCTCATGCATAGGTGCATCGGAGAGATGACATGTAATGATCACGATGCATGGAATGTAGATGAATATGTTTAACTTTATTGGACATAATAGAAGTAAAGCTCTTCTATAAGGTAGCCAATATCATCCAAGAACATGTACTACTATACTACTACTACAACCACTGTACTAACATGCCAAGTCACCACAGCAATCTAAGATGCTTCAAAGATACACCAAAGCAAACATTATTAACTAAACATGCATTAAAGAAGATTATTTTATTTCATTTTAAACTAGGGCTACAACAGCAACATATATTTTTAGTGCTCATAAAAATTTGAGAAAATTACAGTAGCCTAGTACTACTCTAAGTAGACTACCATAAAATTTTCATGGCATTTGGATAAGTAAAATAGCCTACACAAAAATGACAAGATAGGGCATAATTATGAGCATGAAAATACTTTGTACTATGAAAAGTGTCAAACAACAGATTTAGTATTTTTCATATGTTCTACACAGTAAACAATCACTGTACAAAATTTATCATACACATGTTTTATACAAATTTTTCTCTCTATATAAAATAACAAAAATCATCAATTAATGGCACTTGAACTACACATCAATATTTCTCTACAGAACATGCATGACATATATTTTTCCTACAAAGTATATCTCAAGAATAGATCAAGCAACATGGAATCATATTTTTCTGATGTATATCCTATTTATTAGACATTTTCTAAGAAATTAGCATTTATTCAATTTAAATAAAGCTACACAGAAAAGTATCACAAATTTGACATGCAATATTTTTAACAGATAGATCTAGTCACAAGAGACCTAACAAAACTTATTTCAACAAATTTGGAGCCATTTTGAGCAAGTTATAACTTTCCAAAACATTTAAATAGAAATCTGAAAATCATTTCTTAAATTCTTTCTGAAAATCCATGTTCAAAACTGCTAGATCCACCCGGATCTCCACCCAGGCTTGCACCCCTGTGGCTGACAGTGGCCCCCGCCGTTCAGCCGGCCCCAGCTGCCAGCCTCACGGGACAGGGGAGGCGGCGGACCGCCGAGATCTCGCCGACGGTGAGGTCTCAGGCCCGGTGAAGGTGACCGGCGTGCTCCCCACCCCCGTGCGAACCCAGTGGTGCTCGTGGCATGGGCCAAAGAGCACGGGAAGCCGGCTCGCTGCCGTGTATGGCGGAGCGGCGGCGCGGGTCGTCGCCGGTGAGGCGTCCCCGGCCATGGCACGGTGAGAGGAGGTGCTCGGGATACTTGGCGACGCAGTGCGGTGCTCGTGCGCAAGAAAGGAAGGCGGGAGAGGAAGCGGAGCGGGGCTGTCCACGCGGAGCCAAGCTCCAGCGAGGAGGAGCTCACTCCGGCCAGGGATCCCCGGACGGTGAAGACTTACCAAGGCGAACCGACGCGAGCACCAGCTGCGAGATGGCAAAGCGAAGCAACGGCAAAGACGGAGCTAGCTCTGGCGAACTGGAGCGGTCGGAACGTCTAACTCCGGCGAGGCGCTGGTGCGGGTGGTGGCGGAGGCGAGTGCGTGCGCGTGCTCTGCTGCTGAGCGAGAGGCAGGGGGACAAGGCAGCAAGGGAGAGGAGCGTGGGGTGGAGCGCGCGTCTGGTCGGCTCTTGAGGCGAGCGCTGGTCGGAGCACCGCCCTTCGCCGCCGGTGTACGGACGCCGCGTGGTGGCGGGCGGGCAAAGGGAAGGGCGGTAGCGGCAGCGTTGTGTGAGGGAGCAGTGGCATGGCGTGGCTTAGGCCGGGGTGAGCGCTGGGGGGCGCAGAGCAGGCGGGCGGTGCGGAAGAAGAAGCAAATCGAATTTTTCAATTTATTTTCTATTCCCAACTGATTTGAATCACAAATTTGAGCAACCAAAAACTATTTTTAGGATTTGGGGTAAAAATAAAAGTTGTCCAAAAAAATGTACTCTATAACTTTGCCAAAAAGAGTAAGGCCAAAATCCAATTAGATTTTGAACTATAGATTTAAAGTTAATTTAAATCAAAAACCCTATTTTAGAAGATTATTTTTAAAAGCAAAATTTGAGAAAACTTTGAATATACACCTTTCTCCAAATTGCATCCTAATTACCTCTAAGTGGTCTAAGTGATCAACCAAGGTATACACATGGCAAAACAAACATAGCATCCAATCTATTAAAACACAACTATGCAATATACATGTTTCATTAGTATGTTTCATTTCTATATTTCATGTCAGACTTATGGATGCATAATAATGATTATGCTCATGATTTGTAAAATGTTAATGCATGCTTAACACCGAGGTGTTACAGCTGCCCACCCTCGGATTTGCCTGGCTGTTGCGCGTCGCCGTGTTGTTATACAGTAAAGGAGCTTTGCCGAGTGTCCTAGATCTGACACTCGGCAAAGTAGTGTTTACCGAGTGTTCTAGATCTGACACTCGGCAAATGATTATTTATTTATTTATTTATTTGCCGAGTGTCATAGATCTGACACTCGGCAAAGCAGGGTTTGCCGAGTGTTCTAGATCTGAGTACTCGGCAAAGTTTTTTTTTTTTTCTTCTTCTTTTCTAGAAAAAAGATTTTATTTCTTTGCCGAGTGTTTTTTTTTACACTTGGCAAACCCCCTCTTTGTCGAGTTTTTTTTTACCGAGTGTTTTTAGCGCAGCACTCGGCAAAGATCTTGTTCGCCGAGTACCCGAAGAAATACACTCGATAAACATAAAAACAGTCGACAAATTTGAGGATTCCGGTAATCAATAGCCAGGTCAGGTGTACTGTCATGCAAAACAGAAGCTGTTCAGCGCGCGATGGGTTGAGACTTGAGAGTGCTGTCGGCACATGTCCCGCCACTGCGCGAGCTGCAATCGTGAAATGCTCGCCGCATTCCGGCTTGAAAAGCTTGTGCGCCGATGCACTGCAGTCTGAATTTGGCCGCTCCAAAGTACTGTACTAGCTAGTCCGCAGACACCGATCCATGTACGAGCTTATTCCAAATTCCGACTGCTATTCCGTGCACGCTAGCTGCACAATTTTCAGATGTGATGATACGTATACGTGTACCGCCATGAGATGCAGAGAATGTGACCTATAACCAAAAGACGGGGACGTGCATAGCCGCCCTTAATCAATCAGGTTCCCAACATTAAGGCCTGATCCATCAAGACATCAATGGTAGAGGTACATCGATCTGCATGTATAAGATGTGGTTGCGCGCGGGCGAATTTTATTCTGGGCCACCACTAGATCGATCTTGATTCCTCTGATTATATAACTATAGTATCTCTCAGGACGACGACAACATATATATAGTTTAAAATACCTCTATGTAATATAAAATGTTTTTTTATGAAACTGGAGGGGTTTGCACCCCTACAGAGATTATGTAATATAAAACGTTATAATCTTGTACGTAATAAAATGTTATAATTTGTGGCGCATCCTTTTTTTTTTGAAGGACCATAATATGGGAGCATGAACTCTAGGTGGTTGCTAGCCGTTTTATACCCACTAATATTTTATGACACGGTCAGCTAACATCCATTTTTTCACGGTGAGGAATCCATGAGGACATCATTCAATAAGTCATTTAGTTCTCCATAGGGCTTTTCATCCCTGTGTTTGCCTCCCGTTTCCAAAGTAGGCCTAATATTCTTTCTCTTATTACTCTAACTGTAAGTCACTTAGATATACTTTTGTTCAACATTGAGAACACCATCATAAAATTTAATTAAACAAATATATTTTTCTAATTACTATATACAAATTAGAAAATAGGAAAGCTGTTGGGGAGTGAAAAAAATTATTGAAATGATTTTCCAAATAATTATTTAGTGAGTGAGTTTTAAAAATACTCTTGGAGCTGAACGCTCCACGCTCCAGCGCAGGCACCAAATTTAGCTGGCCGGCGCGGGCATCATTTGCACGGTTACGCCCAGAAGCCAAAACATGCATTGTGTAACTTGATTTTCTGATATATGATACACAAGAGCGTTGCCCGTCTAACGCAGGCACACAATATATCGCGTCAAGTACGCTTTATGCCAACATCCAGTTAATTTGGCTGACACATCAGGGTGGTGGTTAGTCGATCGTCGTTCTAATCGCAATCAGTTCGCGGTTGGTCCGCCCCTATCCGGCATCTGTACGCGTACCGGCCGCGCGGCCTGAAGCCAAGCACGTACGTGGCAAGGGAATCAGGGACGACGGACGACGACTAGCCGAGCCGTGCCATACCCATGCCAAGTAGGCCGGCGCGCCGACGCGGCAGCAGGTGGGAGCGGCACAGCGGGCACGTCACCTCGCCCAGGTCGATCCAGCGGTCGATGCAGCGCGTGTGGAACGCGTGGGTGCAGTTGCCCAGCCGCCGCACCTCGTCCGTCGCCTCCAGCCTCTCCAGGCACACCCGGCACGTCGGCTCCGCCGCCCCCGACGACGGCGACGAAGCCACCGCCAGCTCCAGGAACTCGACGAGCGGGAGCCGCTGCTTCACCGCCTCCGGCCTCGGGGCGTCCCCGCGTGGGCGGAGGGGCGGACCGTTGATGACCGGCGCGTGGTCCTCGGGGTCGTAGGGGAACTCGTAGAGGCCGAGGAAGCAGAGCACCAGCACAAACACCAGCGCCACGGCGTGGAGGAGCTTGAACAGCGCGGCCACGGGGCGCGGCACCGCGTTGCAGTAGCAGACCAGCGGGAAGGTCATGGCCGGCGCGGCGTGCATGCATCTGCTTAGTTTGGCTCGGGTTTCGGTTTCGGAGGGCACACGAGAAGGCGCGGGTCCGTCCGTGTGGAGATATAGGGACGAGGCAACCGAAAAGAGGAAAAAGGGGTACGGTGTGGCTCGTCCACTCGTGCTCTGCACGCTGCGCAAAAAGGGCTGGTGGACCGCGGGGCGGGTGCAGCGTGGCTGTCGTTCTAGATACAAGTCGTGGCCGGAACCGGATGGCAAGATGCATTGGGCTATGGCCAGTTTGGCGCGTCGCGCGCGAGCGAGAGGTTTGCGGAGGGCCGGCGTGGTGTCGTACGGGGCCGGTGTATCTAGATGGCTCATGCAAAGCGCAAGCGCAATGGCGAAAGTCGTCGTCACGGCACATCAATATTTGGAGGAAGAAGAAACGGTGCATCGCACGGCAGGGACGCCTACCATTTCGGCTTTTCCCGACGGGACTCGTCCGGGCATATGCCATCACATTCGCAGCCATGGGTTCGGCGTGTTCCGGTAACGGCCTGCCGTCTGAATGTGTGATATGTTTTATTCATTCAGGTTTTGCCAGATTGGTATACCTCTACTGCCCATATAGACATGATATGCTTATGCACCGTCCGTTATGGTAGCCTTGCAAGCCCTGTTTAGTGGAGTTATAGCTCCAGAAAATATCTAAATTCTTTTAAAATAGGGTATTCGTAGCTTTAGAAACACTAATACAGAGACGGGCTTTACTCCCGGTGAAGAACCCCCTCTAGTCCCGATTGGTGTTACCCACCGGGACCCCCCTTTAGTCCCGGACCTTTAGTCCCGGTTGTTGTTACCCACCGGGACCCCCCTTTAGTCCCGGATGCTGGTCCCGGTGGGTAACACCAATCGGGACTAAAGGTCATCCCAGCTTTAAAAAAAAAATAATGCCTCCCACCGCTGCGTCCCGTGAGATTCGAACCCAAGACCTCATGCATTGCCTCGCGCGTAGCTTACCACCCCACCTATACAACACATTTAACAATGGATGGGATGCTTCCCTTTTGAACTGTTACCAACCGGGACTAAATGGTCTACCTTTAGTCCGGGTTGGTGTTACCAACCGGGACTAAATGTTGGAGGACTTTTACTCTCGGTTGGTGGCTCCAACCGGGAGTAAAGGTCCACCTTTAGTCCCGGTTGGTGTCTCCAACCGGGACTAAAGGCCCCCCGCCCTGTCTCGCGGCCTTGATAGAGTTGGCGAGGGACCTTTAGTCCTGGTTGGAAACACCAACCGAGACTAAAGGTCTCTCTAGTCCCGGACGTAAAAAATGCCGGGACTAGAGCCCATTTTAGCCTTGGATGAAAGGTATGTTCTCTTCTAGTGAAAACTTGGATCTAGCTAGCTAGAACTGCAGACATGTCTGATGCATTTTATATAACATGTTTTATTTATAGTTTAGATTAAATATAAGCATTTCAACCATTTTAATCTAGTCTCTACAAACTAGAAAAATGTAGATCTAACACATGGATCTTGAAGCGAGAGTTATGCCAAACAAGAGCTCTAGTGTTTGACTCTTTAACGTAGTAATCTAGGAGGGTGAATATGTGATATGTAGTGTTGTTGTATATATGATGTCATATCATATCTTATCTCCCATGTAATCTTGACACGAGTTACGACAGATAATCACCGAAACGGATGGCTGTTCCTGTCTCTTTCTCCTATACTATAGATATCTAAATTTTGAGATCTTCTCAGGCGACAGGTTCACTGCCAGGGTTATAATAATTATAATGACCTCATAACTCGACCGTGTATGCTAGATTCAAAGATAACATGTATAGTACGATTTTGTACCACAAAAAATAATTTGTTCATACTACATAGAATTTCAAATTGCAAGAAGAGCCTAGGAGCTGTGATAGAGAGTGGAGCTGATGAAAGATACATTCTATATATATTGATCTTGGCCTAGACTGCTGTATTTAGGCATGTTTGTTCATATGTTTCATATTGTACTCAATCTTTGCAAATAAGAAAAATGAGTATGTGTCGGGTTTAATCCCAGCGAGAGATTCTATCACCATCCATGTCCAACCTTATTAAAGGCCTGTTTGTTTGCGCTACTTGGGAGCTTTTAATCTCAGCTTCTGAACATTTCAAAAGCCAAAAATCTCCCAGCAGCCAAAAGTCAGAAGCTTATGACGGTGAGCTTCTAGGCTTTTGGCTTATCCCTCCAACAGTTTTCTATTTTAATTTTCTAAAACCTAAAGTAGGGTCCATGTAATTTATTATCGGTTCAGTCTGGAGCTAATCCGTGGACCGTGGATACTGCCGCCGCCCTTTCATCCCTGCGCGTGAGTGCTCCGCCGGCGACCATCACCTCACCTGGCACCGCATGCAGACCTGCACCTGCTGCAACTGCAGAGCAGCCAGCTGGGCGTGCGGTGCAGGCTCTGGCTGCAGGCCCACTACAGGGAGGTTGCAGGCTTGCAGCAAGTGGTGCACTGGACGGAGAGGAGGTAGCAGGGCTGCAGGTAGAGCCGTAGAGGTAATACATACCAACAACGATCTGGACGGAAACACTCGTGATCTCGAGCCACAAAAACAACGCCCGTGCCCACGGAAACCGTCCGACGAGGAGCCGACGAGGAATAGGAAGTTCACTCGACTAGGAACATTTATGAGTTATTAGGAACAATATTTGGCAACTTTTTATTTTGAAGGAGCTCTTGAACTCCTGAAGATGCTCTGAAGACACGTCGGTTGTGAAGGGAAAATTGAAAGTGCGAGGGAGCCAAAGCCATGCGGATAGCCGATGACTCTGGATCACTACGGGCGGGACAGTGGGCCAGAGACATAGCGCCTGGGAGGCCACCAAGGATGGGCTCGCTGGTGGGAGGCGGGCCGGGGACGAATCGAACTGGACGTAATCACTCAAGCCGAATTTGTTCAAGAAGACGAGCACAAGAGGTTAAAGATGAATCAAAACTGATTGCATTGGAGACGTCTTCTCTCCCTCTCTTGTCTGATGCCCTAGGGCACAGCCGTGGCTGCCGTCCCATGCCTCCACCGTCGCTGGTCCCCCTCCCTTCCCCCTCCGGCATCTTGGCGGAGGTCGGAGGGAGTGAGGATCCATCTCTTCAATAAGTTTTTCAATAGATCGAATCCTTTAGGGTTAGGATCTCTCCATGCCAAATTTCTTGGTATTGGGGGTTTGTGTCCTCCTCCTTCTCGGAGACGACGAGGGGGTAGGGAGTGGATTTAGTTTCTTCGTGGCGACTCTAATAAAGATGAGAGCGACAACTATGGTATCAACAACTTCCTCGACATGATGGCATGTAGACTTAGGTTTCCGAACGCTGACATCAGGACGGAGATGATGTTGGCACCATGGAAAATTTTTCTCTGGTCTCTTCTCCGTTTTCTTGTGGTTAGATTTGACCACGATGAAGGACTATTGACAATAAGTCTGCCACTCAAGCCAATTATTGGTATTGAGTTAGGAAGATTCAGATTAGTTTTTCTTATTCTTCGGTGTAGAAGGAAGAAGAAGGAAGCCACAAGAAAGAAGTTTCTCAACTCCGCCTGCAGAAATATTGGCCGTCGTTCGTTGGGCATCTGTTCTCAGGCCTTTTGCCAAGTGTTTGCTTATGCGGTCATACATGCGAATCGTCATACATGTTTGGGTTTAAGATTTGGAGCTATATATAATGTAGATGAAGAATAGTTTCTAGGTATACGTACTGTATTCCAGAGTGTGCTAGTAACATGATGATGTACTCAACTATAATTTAATATAATTCTTTTTTCATAAAAAAAGGGTTAAAGATGAATCACGTCTGATCCACGTCCGACTGCAAGGCTGTCGCCTAGGAAAAAAAAAAACAAAAAGCCAAATACATTATGATATATATTGATTTTTCTATGACTCCATAAACTCTAATATTTGGTGGATCGGTGAAAGAAAAAGGAAGCATACATTTTTTTTTTTGCGAAGAAGAAAGCTTACCATTACAACAGATATGGTATAGTGTGTCCGTTGTTTAATTAGCGCTAAAGTTAACAACAATACAACATCTTGCGAGACTAGCTAGCAAGTAGGAATCCACTATAGACATCGAACTATACCTGCATCTGCATGTGATTATTAGCACAAATGAAATTGAATATAATCGCTGTCACATTGATGGATAGTAATGAAAATTCTTGAGAGAATTATTTTCTTGGCCTAAAAAAAGTTCAGCTTACTTTCTTGGCCCTTTTATTTTTGAACTTATTTATTTAGACAGAAAAGCTATCTTAGTTCCTTATATGGCATTTCCGTTAGTTTTGGGACTTAACGGTGTTAACTCAAGGATAAATGACGATTTTGCACCTAGATAAAAAATAAATAAATGCAAAGTTCCGCTTATCTGTGTTTAATTTTAAGAAATATTTTGCATGGTTTAAGGTTGTCATATTTATTCCATATTTAAAAATAATATACTCCTTATTTTATGTATTTTCAGCATGGAAAATATTTTCCAAAGTTAAACACAGGTAAATTGAACTCTGCATTGATACATTTTTTCACCTAGGGGCAAAATCGTCATTTCACCCTTGACTTAACACCGTTAAGCCTCAAAACTAATGGAAGGGCCATATAAGGAACTAAAAATAGTTTTCGAACCAAATAGGCAAGTTCAAAAATAAAAAGGCCAAGGAAATAATTCTCTCAAAATTATTCTACATGGCGGAGAAAACTTCGAGGCTAGTGCCCAGACGTCCCACGTTCGGACGCCCACGCCTGCTGCAAGTCTCCTGCACGCACAGGCGGGGACCACCCATGCCCGCGCCTGCTGGCTGCTGCCCACCTCACGTGGGGACGTGGGGACCGCCCGCACCCCTGTCGCCATCCCCTCTGCTTCCCGCGCCCGTCCGCTCCGCCGCGCTCCTTCCCTCCGCTTCCCATGCACATGCATGGCGCCCATGGAGCTGCAGTAGGCGGCTGCGGCAGGTGGGTCCCATTGCAATATGTACA